CTGCATTTGCAAACAGAAAAACAATGTGCAGACATTTTTAAAAATACATTTAAAATGAAGGGCATTCTGCTGCTTTTTCTTTTTTTTTTTAAGTCCCAAAGTAAATCTCAACGTCTCAAGTCTGCATTTAGGCAACTGCATTTATTATGATTTTAAAAGCATATCCCTTAGCATTTTTTTCATTTGTTTTTGGGTTTTTCGTTTTGTTCTACTTAAATGTTTACTTCTACTTTTGAGGTTTTCTTAACACGGTCTTATTTTGTAATGTCAATTTTATTAGGCACCAAACACACGTTTTCATTCTTCTGCTAAAACATGTATTGTGTGCACTAGTTAAATTTTAAAACATTAAAAGTTATTATCAAGATAGCCAGTGTCTCTTTGTTTTCTAAACCACCTTTGGGTAGCTCAGGGCTGGGATATTGTACAGCCTTTATTGTAGTTGTTCTAGAATGGTTCTTCTGGTGATTGTCAGAGCCTTATAGAGATCAGGTCATGTTCACTCACACAGTCAGACAATCAGTCAACAAATACCTACTGAGCATATACTATACGCCCAGGAGTATCCTAAGTATTGTGATACATAGTGACTCGACAGACACTGTCCTCAAGCTTATAACCTAGGAAGAAGGACAAACTTGTGAACAATCACAACAAAGTGTAATAAAGGCCATAAAACAAGTACACATAGTGCTATGGGGAATACCATCAAATTTTATTTCATGGAGATTGTTCTTGAACTACAGTAGGAAGGATGGGCTGGAATTGTCAAAAGCCTAAAAAAGTAAAAGTCACAATAGGCCAAGTGCATGGTGAATGCAGTGGGGTGGATAGATGGCAAGCCAAGGACCAGCATATGGTAGAAAAGTGAAAGTGAGGGGAGGAGAAATGAGAGTGGTAAAAAGGTTCTGAGATGCTAATGCTAAAATTTTGGGGGTTTGTCCTAAAACAGATAAAGAATCTGAATCTTTTGAAATGGGAGGGTTGTGTTTTAAAAATTATATATTTGGAAATTATATTTTGGGAAGATTACCTCGGCCAAGAACAGTTGCTGTTGGTGCTGGAATATTCCTCTGTGTAGATTGTGTACTACGTGCTCTCACACATGAACACGTGGTATAAGCAACAGAAATGGACCCAGTCCAACTGAAGCAGAAAAGGAGCTTATTGCACAGGTATCAAGTACCTCACAGAATCTTCTTAATCTGGGAAATCGGGCTCTGAAAATGAGTAGGAACCAGGGCAATGCAAGCTGCAGGACTCTGGATTCAGAATGCAATGCAAGCTGGATTCAGTCTTACAGCTCCAGAGATTCATTTCTCAACTGTCCTTGCTTCTTTGCTTCGTTTGCTCAAGGGTTTTAACCCAGATATCAACAAGCAGTTAGAAGAATCCAGGCCAAGTGCCCACGCTCTGATTTGTAGGGCATGGAATGAGTGAGTAGCTGACCCTTAGATTCCCATGATCCCATCAAGGTTACCCAACTAGAGATTTCTTCCAAATGGAAAAGGCTTGTTGAATAGCAGAAACAACAACAACAACAACAACAACAAAAATCCATGATCACATACATTTGTGAAGTTTTAATAATTTGAATGTGAGAAATGTGTGAGGCCACCTAATCTAGCATTGCTTCTGAGAATAACACTAAAAAATGATTCAAGGGAAGGTATAGGCATGTGAAGTCAACTTTTATTGGTGTGTGCAGATGAACTGTTGAACAAATAGTTCCCAGATCTCAGTCGCCTCACATACCCACATTTCTCAAATTATGGCTGAAAGCAGGGGGTGGGTTGGTGGACTGCGGGGGGGGGGGGGGGGGGGAGGTGCTGCTCCATTCAGCCTTTCAGTAGCCCAACTTCGTCCATTCTGTTGCTGCTGCCCCCTAGCTCTTCAAAGTCTCCATTCACTCAGAAAATAGGGAAAGAAAAGGCTTGCCCACTTCCACTCATGGTTCATTGGCCAGAACTCAATCATGTGGCCTCATATAACTGCAACAGAGGCAGAACAATGTGTTGAGGAAGAAGAGGCCGATTTGGGTATGTTGGTAAGCATTAGCAGTCTCTACCTCGGGTCCTTCCAGCTTCCTTCCACAAGCCCCATGGAACTTCTTCCCATGAAAAAGATTTTAAACCATGTGCTTGCTCTGATTTTTTTAGTCGTAGTTCTCCAGAGCACCATGCAGAGAGGATTTTGAAGCCAGATCCAGGATAAGCAGTAAAGAGTGCTGGTTGGCAAATGTGAAGTGCGCCACCTGTTGTGCAACATATTTTTATTTCTAACTCGAATCATTCTTCCAACTCAAGTTCAGCTTGTTCTACTTCTGGGGATGTTAAGTCACAAAAATTTCCACTCATTGTTTAGTAAAAGTAACATGGGACTGAGGAGTCACAAGACCTGAGTTTGAATTCACTTCCTCTACTTAATAGCTCTATGAACTCAAGCCAGTTTTAATCCCCTGGAGCCTGTTTCCTATCCTACCTCACAGAGATGTTGTGAGAATCAAATAATGTATTCAAAATTGTCTGCAGACTAAAGCATAATGTAGTCAGAATACATTAAAATAACTATAATTTATTAGTCCTAAATCTCTTTCAAGCTTCAGGAGGTTTTAGTATTGTGAGCTGTGATGGTCAAGCACGTAACTACATCAGAAAAGAAATTGTCATATCCCATCAGAACCACGGTTCATTAAGCTCAGTATTGTCATTGGCAGAGAAACTCAAGGATATGCAGAAGGTGGCGGTAATTGTCCTTGGTGTCAACTGCAAAGCAAAGTGACAAACCCAACATGTTCTAGTTGTATTTAGTAATCACTTATGATCTAATCTTTTAGAAAGTATGTTGGTATTATCAACTTATGTCCTCTTATTCTCTATTTTTGGGGTGAAGCTTTCTCTTTTTCTTTCTAAACTTACGTGAGCCTCTTTCAGATTTCAATGGAAAGAGACCGAGACATTTATTGCAAGGCTTTATAGAGAAGAAAGAAAACTCAGGAATCTGTCTCAGCAGCTTCACTGGCAGGCTTGATAGAGAACCTGAATATAATTCTTTAATCTTTCAGGAATATAATAATAATAATAATAATTAAATAGCAATAGCCACTGAGCACTTGCCATATGGCAAGAAATACTCTAAGCACTTCATACACCTGATCTATAAATGCACAACACCCTGAGAGACTGACTTTATCACTATTTTCCATGTAGGCAAAATGAAACTCAGATTGACTGAGGAAGTTGTTCAAGGTCACAGAGCTAGTGTTTTTGAACCTGAGGAGTCTAGCCCTGGAATGTGTGCTCCTAAACTACTTGTTATATTGGTGTCCTAAGGGCCTCCAATCAAAAGTATTTCTCAATGACTGTCATGATGCTACCAAATGCATCCTTGGCATTTTACTTCTCTGCGTCTTTCTGTGGCTGCCCTCCTTCTGATATCTCATTAAGAACATCCCAGAGAGAAATTATTTGGTCTAATTGCCATTACTCAGTATGGACACTCTTCCCCACTCTCCTGCACTGATAGGGGTCTCCTTTATGACAAGACACCTTGGCTCCCCTACATCACCGTCTTTGGTAGGTTCCTGGCCCTATCAATTCTCACAGTACGGGTGGATCCCTTGACACAATGCAAGGCTTTTCAGAGAAGGGGCTTGTGGGCATGTCAAGCAGCAAGAGGTTTTTGGACCATCCATCCTTGCTCAAAATGCAGGCTGTTCTCTGATTACAGTGGTTAGGGGCTTCTGTCCATGCTCTTTCTTACCTTGCTATTTGTGAAATGATAGGCTTCACAGACTCCCATCTTTGCCCTTGCCTTTTCAGACTGAAGGGCCCATATTCTTTCTCCAACACTTGTAGTCTTTTCTAGTTCTATTGTTTACTCAGGTATAGAAATCAGGATCACATGTTTTCTCCCAGTCTGGGGATTTTGAAGAAGAGAGGACCATCTTTTTCTTTTGTTTCTAGCGTCTTCATGTTGAAGCCTCTTAGAATAAGGTCTAATTTCTTTAACATGGCATAAAAGCTAACAACAGCCCAGCCCCACTGGATCTTTCTAGTGTCCTTTATAGATACTTCCCTATAGACAGGCTGATGGAGAACCACACTCGGTGTAGTGCTGTGTAAAGCTCTCATGCCACTGCTCACGATGTTTTTCTCTGCTTGGAGTGTCTTCTGCCACCGTATCCACTCAGTGTGGTATCGTGATAGAGCGACTGGAAGCATGAGCTCTGGTGTCAGATACTTAGGGATTTAAATTGCACATCTGCTTGGCAGATTTCTTAATCCCTATGAACCTTAGTGTCTTCACCTGGATATAAGCATACTTAGCTCCCAGAGGTTGATCATTCCATCAGAGAATGCACACAGAGTGTATTCCAATGCCTGGCAAAGAGTAAATGGGCATCCAGCTTGGACAATTCCGCTGTTCCCTTTCTTTTGCTCTGCTTTAACCAATGCCCCTATTCCCCTCCCCACTTCTCCACGGCACTGGTCACCTTCTCACCTGGCCCCTTGGCACTTTATACTTAAGTGGTGGTCCCGTATTCCAAGATGTCAGCCAGGTTTCCCTCTGAGATTCCTTCCCCAAACGTCCAGGCTTCTATTCAAACCATGAGTCTTTTTTGCACTAATATCTCAAGTGACAACAGAAAACAGAGAAATAGGAGAACTGCTTCTGGCTTTTTGGTTTTTAAAATTCAGTTCCTTAGGTAATCATAAGTCATGGATTGACCTGGGGGCAAATACCAATACCAGGAGAAGGGGGAATTGGAGTGGGGAGGCAGGTGTACCAAGGGAAGGATTGCAAGGATTGTGGCAGCTGTGGTGTAAGGGGTCCCCACACCACTCAGCATCAGCTGACTGCTGCCATGCGGGAGTCTGGAACCACTGCCACCTGATCTACCTCTTATCAAGAGAAACTAAAATCAACTTTTTAAAAACATGAAATATCAAATTTATTAACACTCATTGCATTATTTTCTTTCAAATTATTCAACAAAAATTCATTCAGGAAGGCACAGTGGGTGAGAACCCGGGAATGCAAAGACAAACAAGATGGTTCCCGTTCCAGGAGCTCCCCGTCTGAAGAGCTAGATGCATGAACAGAGAATACGGTATGCTGCGATATGTCTTACACTGAAGAGTGATTCCCGAAGCGTGATCACTGGGCCAGCAGCGTCCGCATCACCTGGGAACTTACTGGAAATGCAAATTGGCATTTGCCCCAGCCCAAACCTGCCTAATATGAAAATTGAGGTTGTTTTAACAAGCTCTTCAGGTGATTCAAACGCTAAAATTGGAGAACCACTTTGAGTATGGAAAGCCAAAAGGACTTTGGAGCAGTAAGCCAACACATCTGAGCCAAACTTAAGAACATCTAAACATCAGCTCGCAGTCCCCTACAGGCTCGATTAGAAATAGGCTGCTCTCTGCTAATTCACAAGGATGATACAAAAGTATATACGCCTCTTTAAGTTAAACCGTAAGATCTCTGAGAACAGGGTTAAGCTTCTTTTAACTTTTCTTTCCCTTCTACTTTCTGATCTCAGTGCAATGCTTAGGAGATAAGCACTGAAATTTACTTTAAGTAGCTAATTCACAAATCAAACTGCGTGCAAGGGTTATAAGTTCACGATGAGAAAATGGCATATCTACAAATTTTCAAAATTCACTGTGGCAAAATACACAAAATTTACCATTACAACTGTTTTGAAGTGTGCAGTTTAGTATGCTTTAAGGATGTTCACACTGTTCCGCAACCCTTACCATTGCCCAATTCCATGATTTTTTTGTATTTTCCCAAACGTAAACTGTGTACCAGTTAAACAACTGGTGGTCTTTCACCCTGTTTTCTTCCAATGGGAGCTTTTCCTATTGATCTGTAGGAGTTCATTTTAAATTAGGGCTACCAGTCCAATCCTTTGTCTTCTTCCAACTTGTGTTTTTAAAGAACTCTATGCATGGTGAATTTAAAAATCTGTGCAGAAAAATCTGCACTTTTATGGAATCATTGTAACTATGGTTACAATTACATTACCAAATCTATGAATATTTCCCTTTAGGATTTCTATGTTGCTGTCCTTGAAGGCTTTCACAATCTCAGTCTAATGAACACATTTACTTACATTTTCTTCTAACGTCTTAAATACTTAAGCCATATAGGGTTTACTTAAAGTTTTTTTTTTTTTCCTAAATGGCTCATCAGCTGTTCCAGTATCGTTTATTGGATAACCTGTCTTTGCCTGATTTAAAATGACAGTTTCATACCAAATTTCTCCACGTCCTGGTATTTATTCCCGGATCTCTTCTCCAGTCCTGTGAGAATAGAACATTGTCCTAATTACCATCGCGTTCTGCTCTACTCTCTAGTGAGTGAATCGCTCACTTTAGGTCATCTTGATGGTTGCACAATATTCCATCACACACGTACTATAATTCTTTTAAACCAATCCCCTACTACTAAGCATATAAGTTTCCTAGTTTTCCATTCTATACAACGTGTCATTTTTTGGATCGGATTAAACGAATTCTCTGCCTCGGCAGCTCCAGTCCCTTTTCCCCCGTTTACCCTTTTCTCTGGATTATTTAAAACATCACAAACAATAGTGTACACAAACAATAGTGTATGTAAACATTGCAAACAATAGTGTAGTGTAAAAAATCGCAAAACTGGTGTCCATCGTGGGAGAGCTGGCACGAAACCTGTCCTGCGTGTTCAGATGAGCTGGCAGAGACCTCCGAGCGACGGCAGGGGGCGCAGGTTCCCGGCTTCGCCGCAGCCACATCCGGGTTCCACCGCAGGTTCGGGCCAGGAGCAGGCGGAACGTTTCTGTCACACCGCCGATTAACCTGCGCGCGGGGACCGTTTAGGCCGGGGCGCGTCGCCCTTCACGCGTGTTGCAGCGAAAGCGGGCGCGGGGGCTCCGCTTGTTTCTGCCTTGGTCGGGAGCAGCGCAGCATGGATGTGCTCGCGGAGGAGTTCGGGAACCTGACCCCAGAGCAGCTGGCGGCGCCCATCCCCACCGTAGAGGTGAGGGCCGGGCCGGCGGGGAGCGGAAGGGGCCGGGAGCAGCCGCAGGAGGCGTTGCCCCGAGAGCTCTCGCGGCGCGGCGAGCGGGACGGGCGCGGCAGTTCTGCGCATGCCCGGGGCGCGGGGCCGGGTCTCTTCCGGTGCGGGTGGCCGCGTGCGCGGGGAGGGGGCCGGGGGGGGGGTGGTGGCCAGGGCCCCGCGTGCTTGCCCAGGGGCTGGGGGCCTTTGAGGCTTTGCGTGTGTCGCGGCGGCCTGGGTCCTCGCGCCCAGCCGGGGGCACGGAGCGCATCCTCGCAGGGTTCGGAGGACGCCTTGGGGAGGTCCCACCTCCGCGTCCCGGGCTAGGCATCATTTTAACCTGGAAGTCACTTTCGGGCTGCACGAGTATTTTCAACGCCCTGAAAATTTACCCAATATCTTTTGAGTCGGAAAACAAAAATCTATATTTTGGGGAGCAGCCCCATCTCTTTCATCGGATAACCAGAAGCGAGCCCTACCGTGAGCCGCCTCGTGAGGTTCCGCTGGGGACAGGACTGTGCTCGCTGGAAAGTCTCACGTAACCTCTCTGCGGCGCAGAGTCGCCCGGCGGGGAACGGGGACGTGGACAAGTCCGGGAGGGCTTCAAGGTGGAGGAGCCGGGTGGGTGAGACCGTCAGACCTCAGACCGTCAGACCCGGCGTTCTCCGGGGCCCTCCGGTGGAACTAGAGTGCGGAAAGCGCAGGGAGAGGGACGGGGAGTAGTGAGGGGCTCACCGGCAACGCTTTTGACCTTGCGCAGACCTCGGAAGGAGCTGTGCGAGATGCTGTTGAAGGGTCTGAACACGACAGTGACGAGATCTGTGACTCCATTGCACTATAAGAACTTCTTTGTGATTATTTGGCAGATTAGTGAGGTCCATTACGATGAGTCCATCAGGTTTGTTTGTTTGTTTATTTATTTATTTTTAAGATTTTATGTGTTCATTCATGACAGACCCAGGCAGAGGGAGAAGCAGGCTCCCTGCGGAGAGCCTGAAGCGGGGCTCGATCCCACGACCTGGGGATCACGCCCTGAGCCGAAGGCAGACGCGCAACCGCTGAGCCTCCCAGGCGTCCCCGGTCCATCAGATTTATTAGCCCATGAGTGCCTGAAGTACATGGATGATCATCCAAGTCTTGGATTTTTTTTTTTCTTTTCTTTTCTTTTCTTTTCTTTTCTTTTCTTTTTTTAAGACTTGGTTGAAGTTAAGAGCCAGCATTTCCTGACCACGTGCTATGTGACAGGCTCTGGTTAAGCCTAACGTGCATTGCATTATTTGATTCTCTGAAATAAGTACGATTTTCACTCCCATTTTGCCAGTGAAGATTTTTGAGGCCCAGAGAGGTTACTGTGATTAATCCAGTGTCTAAAAGCCATTAAGTGGCTGATTTGGATTTTGGACTCTCGACAGTCGGATTTTAGTCTTCATCCTTAGGCACCGACCGACTGCTTCTCCCAAGACCTGAAGGGATTATCGTAAAGGATTTCTATATCTTTCCTGAATTTGCGCAAATTGTGAAGGAACCACCAGAAGCACAGTCCCAGGCTTCTGAATCAGGAATAACAATCCTCTTCCTGGCCCTCTGTGTCCAGTCCACCGTCACATCTTAAGGGTGCTACCTACTAAATACGCTCAAATCTGTTGCTTCATTCTCACTACTTTCGAGCTACTACTGTCCTCTCTTCTTACACTGCTGACTTACTTGTCTCACTCCAACCTATTCTCTGCTCTGTAGCCAGAGCCCTTAGTTTTATTTTTATTTTACCGTCAGTTTAAATACACAAATCAGATCGTGTTGCTCCCTTGGTTAAAATTCTTCAATCTCTGCCCTGTGCTTTTAGGGCAAAATCTAACATCTTAACCATGTTTATAAGGTTCTGTTCAATCTGGCCACTATTTACTCCTACAGACTCCTTTCCCACCATTCCCACCTCCTTCCCCATTTTGCCCTGAAATCTTCATTCTCTACTCACAGTTCCTTCTAGATTTTTCACTTAATCCTTTTTGTAGATTTATGTATAATAAAATGCACAGATGTCGAGTGTTCAATCACATTTGTTTTGACAGTTATGTATTCCCAAATAACTACCCCTCAAATACAAGGTCTAGAACTTTTCCATCACCCCAGAAAGTTCCCTTATGAACCTTTTTGAACCCCAAGTACCTTTCAATTTCTATCACCATAGATTAGTTTTGCCTGGCTCCCTTCTTTTTTAGTAGACTGACTTTTTTTAGAGTAGTTTTAGGGCCACAGCAACATTGAGAGGAAGTTACAGGTACATATGTACTCCATATGCCACCCGCCTCCTCTTCTTGAAGAATGTTTTTTACTTTCTCTAGTTGTTTGCTTCCCTCCCTGACCACTCCTGGTCAATCTTGTTTGCTGAATCTGCCTTCTGCTGCTCCTTTCTGCATGTTGGAGTGTTTGTAATCTCACTTCATGGACTCTTCTCCATCCACACTCCTTAGGTGATCTCATCATTACATGTCTTTAATTGTCCTCCATCTGCTGACCTCTCCCTAACTTATATCTCTAGGCCACTCTCTTCCCAAGTTCCAGATCCCCATTTGTTGTCTATTTGCCATGTCCCCCTGAATCTCTAATGGGTACATCAAACTTAATATGTTCCCAGCCTGACTCCCGACTCCACACCTGAACCTGCTGCTCGACAGTACCCCAGTCTCCTCCTCTCCATAAATGGAAACTCTGGGGTGTCAGTCCTGACTCCTCTTTCTCAGAGTCTCTGTCTAATCTAGGATCAAGTCCTATTGACTTCGATTGTGCCTCCTAACTACAATTTCTCACTCTCTATACTGTGACCATTGGCCTGGAGTATTTAAATAAACTCCAAAGTCATTTATCTGCTTCTAACCTTGTCTATTCTCAACCCAGCAACTAGAGTCATCCAGTTAAAATGAGTCATCATCACATCACTCTTTTGCTCAGAACCTACTGATGCTTCTAGTGAAAGTCAGTTTTTACAGCTATTGCCAGTCCTGTGTGGTCCTCAGGCCTTTACTCAGAAACTATTCTTGCTTTAGACTCATTTCTAACCCTTTATCGGATTTCCCATTAACAGAGTAGGTACTGTACATAGACTTCTTATCTCAAGCCACTTATAATCTCAGGAACGTATAAAAAGCAGACCTAAGAGCTTGAGCAGTGTGTGAGTTTGCAGTTATTTAATGAAGGAGATAAATATCGTGTGTGGTCCTCCTGCAGCCATGAGATGAGCTTTGATCAGGCACTAGTCGGAGAAGAATGGGAGGGAGAAATAACTCTTTTTGGGCCAAGAGATCCAGCTTCCCCAAACTTACTTTCCCTGTCTCAGACTGGCAAGTCCCACCTGCTCAGGAGGTGTCATGACATAAAGTATGAACAGTGCTTGGAACCTTGAGTCATCAAGAGATTAAAGTCTATTCTGCTAAAGAAATTTTTTATAGGGGATCCCTGGGTGGCGCAGCGGTTTAGCGCCTGCCTTTGGCCTAGGGCGCGATCCTGGAGACCCGGGATCGAATCCCATATCGAAGCATGGAGCCTGCTTCTCCCTCTGCCTGTGTCTCTGTCTCTGTCTCTGTCTCTCTCTCTCTCTCTGTGACTATCATAAATAAATAAATAAATAAAATTAAAAAAATTTTATGTATATATGTGTATATATACATATGTATTTGTATGCACGTATATACATATATGATTTCCGTAAAGGTGGTTACAATTTTTTTTTTAAGATTTTGTTTATTTATTCATGAGAGACCTCTCTCTCTTTCTCTCTCTCTCTGTGTGTGTGTGTGTCATGAATAAATAAACAATATCTTAAAAAAAAAAAAAAAAAGCAGGCTCCATGTAGGCAGCCCGATGCAGGACCTGATCTCAGGTCTCCAGGTCTCACCCTCCGCTGAAGGCAGACACTTAACCGCTGAACCACCCAGGTGTCCAGGTGGTTACAATTTTTAAATTGTTCTTTTCATTTTGGTTTATTTTCTTCTGGTTTCTGTGATCAAGTAAGTTCTTTTTAGTAGACTAAAATAACTTCTTAAAAGAATATTGTGGTTGCTGGCACAGAATGCTGATACTCCTCTTGTTTTGGTTCACAGGAAAAATGGAGGCTACTTCCAGCATTTTTAAAGGTAATCATTTAACATTTAATAATAATTGGTTATTTTTATTTATTTTTTATTTATTTATTTATTTATTTTAAATTTTTTATTTATTTATGATAGTCACACAGAGAGAGAGAGAAAGAGAGAGAAAGGCAGAGACACAGGCAGAGGGAGAAGCAGGCTCCATGCACTGGGAGCCCGACGTGGGATTCGATCCCAGGTCTCCAGGATCACACCCTGGGCCAAAGGCAGGCGCCAAACCGCTGCGCCACCCAGGGATCCTAATTGGTTATTTATTAAATGAAAAGCCAAGTTCATCTTTTTAAAAATGATTTAGTGTTTATCATCAACTAATAATTTTTGACTTTGCACAACTATGTAATTTGCTATATTTTAGAAATACAAAAAATTATAAGGCAGCTTCCCTGCCTATATCTAAGGTGCTGGTTGGGAGAGTGGTAATCTAATTTTAGAGGTAGGTTGTAGTATAAGCAGTAGTAAAGTGGTGGTTAGCAAAAGAGTGATGCTATAGGTGGCCAGAGAAGGTCTCCCAAAGAGGTAAGATATAAACGGCATCTTAGGAGGACAGGGTTTGTAAGCTGAAAGGTATAATGCAGAGAGCATGCCATGATAAAAGCACTCAGGGGAGCCTCCACAGTGTTTATAGGAACAGTGACCAGTCTGTGTGGCTGGAATGGATACGTGGATAGTCATAGGAACTGCTGAATATAAGGTTAGTGGAGGGCTTCAATTCACTTTAAAAGAGCTTATGCTAGGCCGGGCGCGGGTTCCACAATGACAGATCACTTGACACCCACTAGGATGGCAGTAGTTGAAAAGAAAGGTAATAATAAATGCCGATGAGGATGTGGGGAAATTGGAACCCCACATATTGGGGTTCCCATATATTGGGAATATAAAATATTGCAACTGCTTTGGATAACAGCCTGGCTGTTCCTCAAATGGTTAAACAGAGTTACCACATATGATCCAGCAATTCTACTCCTACTTATTTACTCAAGAGAAATGAAAACACATGTCCACATAAAACTTGTACATACATATTCATCATAGCCAAAAAGTAGGAACAACCCAAATGGAATCAACTGATGGATGGGTAAATAAAATATGGTATATCCATACTGTGGCTCTACAGTGGGCTATTATTTAGCAGTATGAAGAAATCAAGTGCTGGTACATACTACAATATGCATGGATGTTGAAAGTATGCTAAATGAAAAGATGGAAGCTTGAAAAATGAGTAGTCTTATGAGTAGAGCCTTTTGCCTACAACACACAAAACACAACACACTTTTGCCTTTTGTTGTAGGCAAAAAGAGAGTGTTGGGGGGTGGTTCTGGGGAGGCTGTCAGGGCCAGATTGTTAACCAGATTTGAAGCCACGTTAAGGAGTTGGTTTTTCTTTTAAAAGCAATAGGAAGCTGTTAAGGAGGTTTTAGGAAGAAGAGTGACCCAGGATGATATAAAATGGTAAGAAGGTCAAGGGAAGGAAAGGTTTTTTTGTTGTTTTTAATTATTCCCTTTTTTTTTTAAGGAACTATATAAGCAGAGGAGAAAAGGTAGTATTTATGATTCAAAAAAGAGGAGACAACTGATGACAGTCCAAGAAGAGAGTGAGAATTCAGTAGAAACCTAAGTCTGTGGTCATTTCATTCATTTATTCGTTCATTCATTCAGTCACTCAAAGTTGAGAATCTCCTTTACTCACACCACAATATATTTGTCCAAAAATATAGGTATAAAGATTTTAATACACAACTGAAGATAGAAACACAAAGCTTATAAGGCTGCCGATGCTGCTGGCCAACTGAATCAAGACTTAGTTCTTAGGCTAGGATGACAACAGTGAAGAGGGACAAATGTAAATCCTTGTACTTGGTTTCGCACAAGCACCAGATTGGGTGTATTTGACTTGATAGCATTGCTTGGTGAAAATAAACATTACCTTTTGAGATTTAGTTGATGAGTCAGTAGTGTGGTTTTTAAAGATTTTATTTATTCATGACAGACACAGAGAGAGACAGAGACACAGGCAGAGGGAGAAGCAGGCTCCATGCAGGGAGCCTGACATGGGACTCAATCCTGGGTCTCCAGGATCATACCCTGTCCTTGATTTTTTTTTTTTTAATAAAAGTGCTGTAATATCCAGAATGAGGGAGGCCGTATCCCCACTGTATGCATCAGATTGTCGAGAACACTGTCAGTGAGTTCAGGGTCCCCATGTTAGGAGGAACATTGGCCACCTGGAGCATGCCCAGGACCAGGCTGATAGAAGGGTCTGGAAGGCATGCATGTGAGACATAGTTGAATAGTTCCTAGTTATCCTGAATGTGACAACATGGAGAGTTGTGGTAAATAGTAAATAAATGGACTGTTGGAGAGCAGGCCTTTCTCTCTAGAGGGACAGTTAAGTTCAAGGGGTGGGACCTGGGGGAAGGGAGACCTCAGATCAGTATATGAGGTTAAATTTTTCCCTCAGTAATTAGGACCGCTTCTAAATGGGATGGTTGCTCTGTGAGCCTGTGAGATCCCAAGAAGGAAGTGTAATTAAAGCAAAGGCTCTGATTATGTGTTAGGATTGTTCTTGCAGGGCTGAACCCATTGTGCTTGAAGAATAAAGTGGAAAAAAAAAAAAAAAGAACACATGCAGGCCTTTTAAATTCTAGCACTTTAGAGTCCATGTTACTGTTGCAGTGTTCTCCATAGCACACTACACTACCTCTGCCCGGCTGTTTCCTACTTCTGAGTTGAAAGGAGAGTCTCTGCTGGCTAGTATGTGTTCTTCCATGAATTTCACCTGCCTTTCCATTTCAAATGCCGTGATTTTCAATTTTCTTGATAAAGATCCTCATTTTTTCCCCCTCAGTCTTCTCTAAGTTATCTGAGTTTTGAAATTACCCAGATAGGGGAAAACAGACATTTTGAGGGTTGAGGAAATGATGCTCAATTGCTGTATTTTGTTTCTTGGCTTTTTTTGTAAATTCAGAGTATGCAGAAAACATCTTGCCTCATTTGTTAGCTTATGGAGAGTTCTTGGATATGTTCAAATACTCCTACCTTGAATTTTCAGGGTCAGATTGATTTTCAAGGAGGAAAATTTGAGTGTGTATTAGCAGGATGGAGGAGAAATGGAATGAGGAAACATAAATGTGAAGTTCCACCAGGTGACATTTGTGGATTTTTTTTTCTCACTTTGGTTTTGAGAAAAATCTGAAGATCACCTGTGGTTAGAGTCTGACATAGTATGCTGTATTTTTGCTAACCTGCTTTCTATTTTTTGTCTGTCTAGGTGAAAGGCCTTGTGAAACAGCATATAGATTCATTCAACTATTTCATTAATGTGGAGGTAAGCAGCAGGGCCTAGAAGCAAAGAGGGGTGCCTGGTAGGCTCAGTCAGGGTAGCAGGCGACTTGATCTCAGAGTTGTTGAGTTCGAGTCCCTTGTTGGGCATGGAGCCTATTTAAAAAGAAAAGTAGAGATGAGAATTGATGGAAGCCAGAAATGCCCTAATGGTGCTCTTTCCACTGTAGATAAAGAAGATCATGAAGGCCAACGAAAAGGTCACGAGTGATGCCGACCCCATGTGGTACCTGAAGTAAGGAGTCATCTACTCTTGCTGCTTTGATTTCATCTAACATGTTTAAAAGTGAATATGGTTGTTAACCAAAAGCCTATCAAAATAACTGTCTTTATCTGGTTAATAAGAAAAGCACTCAATTTTTATTTGGTAAACTAATTATAACAAGTAGAGTTATGTTTGAGAAGTACTGAAACTGAGGTTTAAACACTTTTTAGAACAGTTTTAAACTTAGAGAAAATTACCAACATAGTACAAAGAGTTCCATATTATTCTTTGCCCAGCCTGTGCTAATATTAGCAGCTTACATAACCAAACCACATTAGAAGACCCAGGCAATTAGCACCAATATAATACTGTCAACTACTCTGCACGTCCTATTTCAAGCTTTCCCTCTCATGTCTTTTTTCTGGCCCAGGCTTCAATCCAGAGCCCGACATGATGATTAGTTCTCATGTCTCTTTAGCCGCCTCCAGCCTGTGACAGTTCCTTATACTTTCTTGGTCTTTTATCACTTCGACACTTTTGAAGAATTCTGATCCATTGTTTTGTAGGAGGTCCTTCAATTTGGGTTTGTAAGATGTTTGCTAATGATTCAGTTGGCTTATGCTTTTTTGGCACAGAAGTAATGTTTTGTACCATCTTCACTGCATCATATCAGGGCTACAGATGTCAGTATATTTTACTGTTGGTGGTTTTAACTTTGTTCACTTGATTAAGATGGTATATGCGGGTTTGTCCACATATGTATTTTTCCTTTTGTAACAAGGGTCTTAGGGGGAGATCCTTTGATACTATGCAAATAGCTTACACACTAATTTTAGCATCAAGGATGATTCTTCTAACAGTTACCGCTATATGTTTACCTATTGATGAGGCTTTCTTGTCATCGTTCCTTATATACTCATACTAGAATTTTATTGGAAGGAAGAGCTTTTTCTATCCTGCACCAGCCTGGAATCATCCATTTCCCCAGGAAGCCCTAATCTCCTTTTCTGGACAAGTGTTTAAAAACCAAGATAGAGATATTAAAACCTTGGTAGATGGAGCAAGGAAATATGTGTGTGTTTGCTAACATGCATGCACACATCCATATTTCCATATCCTATCCATTTTTATATAAAAGCCCAGCATACTGATACCTCCTATTTCCGTTCAACTCCACGGGACTCATTCTAACTGATCTCTTTCCTTATTTGTAACTTTTGTCCCTAAAATGAAAAACCTGGCTCTCATTATCCACACTATTTGTACCTATTTATTCAATCCTAGAATATGCATATTTCAGAATTGCTAATTGATAACTGTGAAAATAAAATTTGCTAATTAGAGTACAGTATCTGTACATTGCTTTTTTGTCTTTATCTCTACAGTATCCAAGCAAAATATTGTCTTCAAAGCAACTTAGACTTGTTTCCATTCTCACCTTCTCAGTGCAGTTATGTTATTCATTTATAAGGCAGTGCCATTTGTATTCCATTCTGGGTCCCATTCTGCATGCTGGTAGATTTTAATTATGCGTTTACTTTTTGAGTGTGTGAAACATGGTTGTAAGAGTTAGTCCTTTAGAAAAAAATACTTTCAGGAAATTGTCACCCTTTCCAGTTCTTTCCACCCTGTTGTCAGACACTCCCAGTAGGTATCCAGTCTCATTAGTTTCTGCTTTCTTCCTATTTCTTTTGCTGTAATGAGTATATACAGATGGTCCCTGATTTACAGTGGTTCAACTTTATGATGGTGTGAAAACTAGACACATTCAGTAGAAACTGTACTTTCAGTTTTGAATTTTGATCTTTTTTTTCCCAGGCTAGCAATATGCAGTACAATCCTCTTATGTTGCTGGGCAGCGTGGCCACAGCTCCCAGCCAGCCCCACAGTCACAGGGATCAAGAACCGACACTCTTAAAATTGTTTTGTGTTTCACTTTCTGTATAGTATTTAGTAAATTACATGAGATAGTTAACACATTATTTTAAAATAGGCTCCGTGTTAAATGATTTTCCCCTACTATAAGCTAATGTAATTATTCTTAGCGCATTTAAGGTAGGCCAGGCTAAGTTATGATGGTTGGCAGGTTAGGTATATTAAATGAATTTTTGGCTTAATAATCTTTTCAACTTACAATGGGTTTATTGGGCTGTGACCCTGCTGTAAGTCGAGGAAGAGCTGTATTTTTTTCCCCTTATAACCTCTTATTTCTTACATGAATAATAGTTCTTTTCATTAAATATCATCTCTAGAGAGCGATCTTTGCAGTATTTAAAAAAATAAATTTACAGTAATTTCTTAAAGACTTTGATAGTTTTTTCCCTCCTTCATAGAGCTATATGTATTATCATGTCAAGAAGATCTCCAATTACAATTTTTGTCATTTTTAGCAAGGTAAGTATTTATAATATACTCAAGTATAATATACTGATTATACTTGTATTTGGGAAGAAAATAGCTTGTTTGTTTGTATGTTCTTTGAAAAAGTATAATTGGTAATGGAATAATTTGCTTTTCAGGTATCTTAATATCTATGTGGGGCTTCCTGATGTTGAAGAAAGCTTCAATGTAACTAGACCAGTATCCCCTCATGAGGTAATTATCTACCTTACTATAATTGTATTTGTTTGCCTTAACTCAAGGAGTCTGTGCTCTTAATGTGAGTTTTTTAAAAAAGATTTTTAGGTCTATATTTTTGCAAGGGGGTGGGGAGGAGCACAAGCACACACGTGTGTGATCATGAGCAGAGTGGAGGGGGCTGGGCAGAGGGAGAAGCAGACTGCCCGCTGAGCAGGGAGCCCAATGTGGGCCTGGATCCCAGGACCCTGTGATCATGACCTGAGCTGAAGGCAGACGCTTTACTGAATGAGCCACCCAGGCGCCCAGCATATGCTCTTAAAATGATTTTAAAACAAGGAAAAAATATCTCTTATAAAGATGACCAAAATAAATTAGCACTTATATAATACTGTATTAGGAAACAATTTTGTACTATTTAGTTTATTATTTAATCCTGCACTATTAGTTAACCCGCACTGTTATATAACTTTGTCTTACATACATCCGTGCTTCTGACTTTTGAGCAGCCTCTCCATCATCTCCTGCCCTGGCCAGCCACTTTTGCCTAGTGCGGTGTGCGGTGCATTTGTAGATATTACTGAGCACATTTTTTGAGGGTCAGGCATTGTGTTAGGCAGGGGAGACCAAGGACAGGAGTTCACAGTCTGGTAGAAGAGATGGATAGGAAGAAAATTTAACTACCAGGATTTTAACAGACCTAAAGGGTTATAGAACAGGCCTATTTATTGGCTTTTAACATGTTCTAGATTCCTCTGGAAATTCTTCCACTTAATGTCCATAATTTGGAATTGATTTAGGAAAGAAAATGATTTTTGTAGATTTATCTAGTTTGTGTTAATGTAAAGCTAAACTGTAAAGCAGTTAGGGAAAGTAGCAGAGGACTCTATTAAACAACAAGTAAGTTGTTAGAATGTTAGGGTTGTTGTCTGAGCAAGGTTAGACAGGAAGTATGATCATGGAACTAGACATTTCACACAAGCTAAATGTTGGTGTTATTTAATCGCCAAGTATTGAGTGTCAGTTGAACGTTTATTTTGTGCCTCCACATTGAGAGATACCAAAGAAATGAGACCCTGTCCTTCCTCAAGGAGTTCATACTCTGTGGAGAGAGTAAAATAACAAAATACATGAAACAGCAGGGGTTGCACACTGGAATGCCCAGGAGGGTGAGGTAGGCATGGTAGGTGAAGTTGTATAGGGTAGGAAGTGGCGAGATGTGGAATGTTGGGAACATGTGCCCCACTTTGGCTTTCCCCACTTCTCCATTTCATCTTGCTGGAGTTTTCCAATTTTTTAAGGACTATGCAGCCAATTAGCAATCTCTGAGTCATCTTCTGAACTACATTACTGAATGTAGAGAAGAGAGAAGACAAAGTGGTTTGAAGTAGTTCAAGAAGCCTGAGGCCACAGTTGTCATAATTATTCTTCCTGATGTTAGAAGAAACACGTGGATGTTATTGCAGTTAGGGAGAGAGGGCACAGAGATTTCTTGGAGGGATTTTGATCCTTGGAGAGGCAGGGAGAGTGGGAGAGCAGGCGGGTGGGCAGTCAGGGTACCTACAGTAGGAGTGGTGGGATGCTGATTCTGCAGATTCCCCTGCACAGTTCTACTCCTATGGTGACAGAGAGGCAGAGGGGGAGAGAGGGAGCTCGCAGGGGTTGTTTGGGACCTCTGGAAAGGGTCCCCATTTTCACCACATTTATTAAAGTTCATTTCCATTTGAAGGAGAGGAGTTTTTTGAAACACAAATGTTTGGGGGTGCTGGGTAGCTCAGTTGGTTAATCATTTGCCTTCTGCTCAGGTCATGATCCTAGGATCCTGGGATTGAGCCCCTGCATTAGGCTCCCTGCTCTGTGAGGATTCTGCTTCTCCCTTTCCCTCTTCCCACTTTTGCTTTTTCTCTCTGATTCACACTCTCTCTCAAATAAATAAAATCTTAAAAAAAAAGAAAAAAAAAGAAACACGAATATTTGCCCATCATGGGTGTTATGTTAAGTTTTAATTTTTTAAATAAAAATGAGATATTATTTATGTAATACTCTGTTGCCAGACACTATTCTATATATATATATACCACATACATATACATAAAACCTCTTGGGAATTAAAACTATTCTCATCCCCACTTTACATACAAGGAGACCAAGACACAGAAGGGTTATTCAAAACTTAGGTGGTAGAACCAGGATTTGAGCACAGGCAACAGGGTGCACACGGAACCTCTATACATATCGCCTTTGGTGTGGCCTGAAGATGGAGGCTCAATCTAATTAAATATAAGCAACTTTTATTCAACATTAATAGAGATATCTAATATTTTAAGATCCCAGGCCCTGGAAAAGAAATAAAAAGTTTAAATCTGTCTTTGGTTCAGTTGGAGGCAGAAAGAGGATGCAGTAACATGAATTGTATGATTGATGTTACTCTCTTTTTGAGAATACAAGCCACTGATGACCATCAGTAAAACAGGGACGTTGGGGGACCTGTGTGGCTCAGTGGTTAAGCGTCTGCCTTTGGTTCAGGTGGTAATCCCAGGGTCCTGGGATTGAGTCCTGCATCAGGCTCCCTGTGGGGAGCATGCTTCTCCCTCTGCTTCTCCCTCTGCCTCTCACTCTGTGCCTCTCATGAATAAATAAAATCTTTTTAAAAAAATTAAATAAAGGGGACATCATAAAAGATTTTTGTGGGGTTTGCTGTGTCTGATCATGGCTCAGGTAAGGGCATCACTGAGCTAATTATCACTTTGTCAAACTGACGCATACACCAGTAATTTCTATAGTTCCTCAAATGGTGCAGAAATCGTTAATATGATGTGATGAATGATTTGTGCTATAGGATACCACTTGTTAAGGAATTCTGTGATAGAATTTATTTGGAAAATAAAAGGAAGTATATTTTAATTTTTTTAGTTTGTGTATGTGTATACCTTAGGCTTTATACTAGTGGTTAACTTTTTGAATACGGTAACCACATTGATTACTTTCCATGGACCAGATTTTCAGGGAACAATCTAATTGCTTCAAAGGTGGGAGCAGACCGCTATCAGATAGCGAGAAGAAAGTCAGCACCATATTTATTTCATGTCTGGGCTGGCAGGGGCAGAGAGGCCATGGGGCTGTCTAGATCAGTGGCCAGCATCAGTGGCCAGCATCATTCCCCCCATGGAGAAGGTAGGGTCATCACTCCCAGCATCCTTACGGCAGCACATTTAACAACTCAGTTCAGTGTGGGCTATACTTCTACTGGAAATGTGGCTCTTGGAGGGTTCAGGACCCTTTCTTTTCCAGGGAGGAGAAGCAGTGACTGTCTGATTATCTTTCAGTGCCGTTTGCGGGATATGACATACTCTGCCCCCATCACCGTGGATATTGAATATACCCGAGGCAGCCAGAGGATCATCCGCAATGCCTTACCAATTGGCAGGTGAGAAATGATGTCTGGGTTGGAGCCACACTGCCTGCATTCTAGCCCTCTGGGGTGACCTTGAGCAAGGACCACAGTTCCCTCTGCCCTCATTTCCTTATCTGAAAAATGTGTGAAATGGTGCATACTTCATAGGAGTCTTTTCTGGGGACCCAGTGAGTCAGCCCAGCACAGCACTCAGAGTGATATCGAATGCATAGCTGTGATGCTGAATGCTTTTTCATTGAACTCTCTTCTGTAAAGCTAAGGAAAATGCTTCCTTTTCCTCCTGAAATCCAAGCTGCTAGGGAAATGTCAGGTAAGATAGCGTTTCAGTGAAGCCTCCTGGCCTCACCTTCTTAGTGGATTCATGTGTATTTTGAGTTTCTTGGAAATTGAACTGTTTCCAACATAGCAGTATTTAAGGGAAAAGTTACTTATTTGCCTGGAACAGGTTTGGAAATGACAGATGCTTCAGCTCACATTGTTGCAGTCTGCTTTTCCTAATTAGGGAAAGATACTTGCCTGTAGAAATGGACAAAACTCAACGGTACTGTGAATCTGATAATGGTGTTGAATTTTAAACTTAGTGCAAACAGTTCCTGTCCAGTGTTTTTCAAAACCCCACCTTTAAAAATGCTAAGAGCTTAATAAACATCCATTGGTTCAGCAAATACGCACCAGTTGCCTGTCACTTGTTCTGCACTATGCTGAGTACTCAGGTAAACAGAAGATATTTAGATGTAAGTCCTGTTAGCTATGTTCATTTCCAGCTGCCAGGGAAGCCAGAGGGGGCTGTTTGTATCATTCCTGTCCTCACTCTTCAGTCAGGAAAATAAGTTGGGATAGCAGAATAATAATCTTCATTTTATCAGGACTATTTATTTGTGTTAAGACCTTCTCTCTTTCTCACATATGGACCTGGTTGTGTCCAGTTAAATATTGGAGCGTTAATACATTCTTTCCCAGATTGAATATTATGAAGGGAAGATTGGAGAGACAGGAGCAAAGCATAACTAGTATGATTTAGGGGTTAAATCCTGGCTAAGAGGAGTCAGGGAAGGGTGTTTAGTGTTGGGTATTCACCAGTGTTTGGTGAATACCTGCTATGTACCAGGATCTGGGAGAGATGATTGCATTTACTGCACTCATAAAAGTGACCTTTGTGAATCAGAGTGCTTGTACGTACCATGCACTGTCTACATTACATGTATCACCTTGTGCAAGTATTGTGGGTTTGGGACTTTTTTTTTTCCTGAATGAAAAAGGTTTAAGTTTAATTCAGGTAATGTTCCTTCTCAGTAACAAATCAAATAGTATATGAGAGCACTTTATACAAAGCAATAGCCTCCCCCTTTCCTTACCCTAGTCCCGTTCCCAATCTCATGACTATGTCTCTCATTCTGGTGGTTATTGCATCCATAACTTTATTTTTTTTAATTTTTTATTTATGATAGTCACACACACACACACAGAGAGAGAGAGAGAGAGAGAGAGAGGCAGAGAGAGAAGCAGGCTCCATGCACTGGGAGCCTGACGTGGGATTCGATCCCAGGTCTCCAGGATCGCGCCTGGGCCAAAGGCAGGCGCCAAACCGCTGCGCCACCCAGGGATCCCACATCCATAACTTTAAATGTTACATATATACCTCTGTTTCTTGGTACATCAACTGTAGATGCTATTTCTTAAAAACTCCAGAACTCTCGTTTTGTCTGAAAAATCTCATCTGGACCTCATTCTGAAACATGACCTAACAACACACCAGTTAGGTTGCCAGTGACTTTCTGTCCGAACTTTGCATGTCCCCCGTCACTGTCCCTCGTTGATTGCAGGTATGTGCCTGTCCAGTCATCTTTCCCTGTTTGGTAAGTGGCCTTTTCTTCTCTCAGGGTTTTAATTCTTCTCTTTGTTTTTGATGATTGTATCTTGACTATGGTGTGTTTTGATGTGGCTTTCCTGTTATTTACCCATGTAGATATGATTGTGCAGGTTTATGGCTTTCGTACATTTCTGAAAGTCCACAGCCACTATCTCTGAATAGGACTTCTTGCCCAATGTGTGTCTTTTTTCCATCTAGAACCTGATTAGATGTCTATGAGACGTTTTCACTTTGTCCTTCCATGTTTCTTAAACTTTGTCATACCTTCTTTATTTTCCTGAAATGTAATCTCAGTAATTTCTTTGGTTCTCTTTTACAACTCAATAATTCTGTCTCTTTTACAACTCAATAATTCTTCATTTCACTTGGTTCTTAATGTGACTGCCACTCCTCTGCCTTTTCTAAAATGTCCAAGAGGAATACGGACCCCTTGGGGATATGTACAGGGCAGGATTCTCCTCTTTTTTTTTTTTTTTTAAGATTTTTAAAATTTATTCATAGAGATGCAGAGAGAGAGAGAGAGAGAGAGAGAGAGAGGCAGAGACACAGGCAGAGGGAGAAGCAGGCTCCATGCAGAGAGCCTGACGTGGGACTCGATCGAGGGTCTCCAGATCACGCCCTGGGCTGCAGGCGGCACTAAACTGCTGCGCCACCAGGGCTCCCCAAGGATTCTCCTTTTTTCACCTCTTTTGCCAGTCAACATCTTTATGTGATATTTTCTTTTATTTTCAACAGAATGCCCATAATGCTGCGTAGTTCGAACTGTGTTCTTACAGGGAAGACACCAGCAGAATTTGCCAAACTGAACGAATGCCCTTTAGATCCAGGTATGTCTGATTCCTTGGATTTTTGCCCCCCAACTCTTGCCCTTCTTTGGCTTTTCTTTTACTGTTGCTGTTTCTTTAATTCTCAAAAACAATGCCAGCTTTTCTGCTTTATAATGAACTTGAATAAAACTGTTTACAGAACATGGGGCATCTGGGTAGTTTAGTTGATTAGTCCTCCAACTCTTAATTTCAGCTCATGTCATGATCTCTGGGTCATGAGATTAAGTCCTGCATCAACTCAATAATCCTTCATTTCACTTGGTTCTTAATGTGACTGCCACTCCTCTGCCTTTTCTAAAATATCCAAGAGGAATGTGGACTCATTGGGGATATGTACAGGGCAGGATTCTCCTCTTTTCACCTCTTTTGCCAGTGAACATCTTTATGTGATATTTTCTTTTATTTTCAACAGAATGCCCATAATGCTGTGTAGTTCGAACTGTGTTCTTATAGGGAAGAGCATCAGGCTCTGCTCTCAGCACAGTCTGCTTAAGATTCTGTCTCTTTCTCCCTCTGCCTCTCCTCCCACCCTCTCATTGACTCATGTGTGCTTGCTCTTAAAAAAAAAAAGTTCACATAACAATCAGAAATTTAGCTCCAACATTATTCTTTTAGTCTGTATTTGTGAAAGGTATAGTTTCCTCTTTTATTTCAGGTTTAAAACTGTAACACTCCAAGATGCGATTTATTGTTATGGTTTGTCAGACTTTTCTTTGTCTTTGCTCAGTGATTTCTTTTGGTATGCCTAAAAATTCAAGAATAATCTTAAAAAGTGGTTCTTTAGCTGGTTAGGAAAAACTCAAATAGCTTATTACTTCAGGCTGTTTTAAATGCAATAAAGGGGCAAAAACCAAAAGTTTTTTGTTTAAATTTTAAAAACTTACATATTTATACGTAGTCCTAGGCAGTTCATTTTGCAAAGTTTCAGGCTTAGCGCTTAACAGAAAATTTTTCTTAATTCCTCAGTTCAGGTTGCACATTTAATTTGTAGTTATTTTCACCTATTCTTTAAAGTTGCACTGATACAGAATCACAGAAGGTTTTGGAAAGAGGTTAACAAAGGACATGACTTTAGTAGACTATAACAAAATGTTGTGTAAGTCAAATATACTGCTTGTTTTTATTTATATTCTAAAAGTAAAATAAAATTTCGTTTTATTTTATTCTGAATTGTGTGCAAAAAAAGGCTATATGATAATGTTTTATGGGTTTTGTTCAGTATGGAATAGTTAGGAAATCTGATCCTTTTTTTTTTTTTTAAGATTTTATTTGTTTATTCATGAGAGAGAGAGAGCGAGAGACACAGGCAGAGGGAGAAGCAGGTTCCTCACAGAGAGCCCGATGTGGGACTCAATCCTGTAATCCCGGGATCATGCCCTGAGCCAAAGACAGACGCTCAACTGCTGAGCCATCCAGGAAACCTGATCCTAATCTACCATTGTCACTGATTTTTTAGAAAACTTAGGGCAATTTTGAGTTTATATTGAAGATTGTTGGTTATTTCTATGCTTAAGAAACTTAAAGACTAATTTATTTAACATACTTTTTTCATTCATCTCTATACATGTCAGGTGCTGGTGATACATACACCAGTGAGATCTGTACCCTATCCTCAGGAAATTTATTTTCTTGTGGCTCATGTGTATAAACTCATGTGCTGACATTGTCATCAATTCATAAAACAATATCAGCAAACTCCTTCTGAGTATTGGTTAGCGCCACAGAGCAATGGAAGAAGGGTCTCTAAATCAGAAGATTGCTAGTTGTTACTAAATCACACTGTCAGAAAAAGAGGCAGTGAAACTTACCTTGCTTCCTTTGGACAGGTGGCTACTTCATTGTCAAAGGAGTAGAAAAAGTAATTCTTATCCAAGAGCAGCTGTCTAAGAACAGGATCATTGTGGAAGCTGACAGGAAGGGGACGGTTGGTGCTTCAGTTACCAGGTATGCACAGCAGGGGTAGTGTTAAGAAATACTGATAATTCCACTAATATCATATGGCTGTCTTTCAGTACAGTGGTAGCCACTTATTTCTGATAGCAGGCAGCAAAATATTTACCTATTTATTCAATTTATTGTGTAAGATGGGAAGCATATAGAATATTGTTTTAAAATTTTTAAGTGATGGAAGTGTGTGAGACATTGGTTGTTGAAAGGCCACTAGTTGTTTTATTCAAGTTGAATTTTGTTGCATTTAAGGAATGTTGAAAAAAAATATGAAACCACTCTGTCACGTTTGTTTTTAGTCTTTGATCATTCTACATAATGTATTCCAACATTGATATAATTAGAGATTATTTTTTACTTAATATTTAATGAATTGTCATGGACTTAACATCTTATTGTTACTTTTCTTGACTGGTCTCTTTTACAGTGTACTCATTTTTCTCCAATAGCATCTCATGTCTCTTATAACTTCTTTTCTCTGATTTATTATCATATGTAATTTGAGATTTATAAATCAATGAATTCTGAGAAAAAAATCATAGAATAATGAAGATGTCAGTATGCAATAATTTGTCTTCTAACAACCTATAATAAGATGTTTCACTCAGACTTTTAAAATTTTTCTTTCTAATGTGGGGTCAGCCAACAATAATGGCCATTTATTGAGCAGTACTAGGAGCCAGGCAATGTATCAGGTACTCTTCATTATTTGTCCTCTCAACCCTCCAAGATAAGTGGTGCATCTCTATTTTACTGCTGAGAAACAGGCGTTGGGCTCAAGGCCATACTGATCAGAAGAGGTGGCCAGCATTTGGACCCAGATCTAATAATTCTTCGACCAATGTCTTCCTACCATATGCAACTTTCAGAGCCAGGAAATTGGGAGTTGAATCCCAGAGTTGTTTTTCGGTAGCTCTGAGGCATTTTGGGGAGGGTGACAGTTACACATCTTCTCTAAGCATTGGTTTCCTTATGTGATTTGGAGACACTACTTGAATGTAAGTGTTATTAGTATGGAGGAGATCAGAGCTAGTATTAGTGGAGTATGCAGAGCAGTGTACATGGTATGTAGCAGGTGATCAGTATGTGCCCTGTTGTGGCTGATTAAGCTTGGAAATACTTTTAAATCTGTTAGCAGCTTTGTAGCTAATAGAGATACCAGTAAAAGGCAATTACTTAGTTTCTTTTGGCTTCACTATAGAGTAAGAACATAGATGTGTTTTAATGGATTATTAATTTAAATACAGTGTATGAATTCCTTTCTTTGTATTTTTGTCATTATGATGTAAACTCATTTTGAGGTTTTTCTTTTGAAATGTGTAAAATTCATCATGAATATACCCCATACTGAATTTAAAGCGATTCAGGTGGAGTCAAAGTGAGGTAGGTCAAAATGAATTGGTGAGTGTCACTCATTCACCCTTAAAACTTCTACCATAATCTCAAAGCTAAAGAAACATCTATAGTGTTTTTAAATAGTCATGGAAGTGACAGGGAAGCTAGGAAAGGAGTTGTGTATCTTTAAAAGGAATTGTGTATCTCTTAGGAAGGACCTACTGATTGGTGAACCTTATTGACTGATGATCATGCTACTAGCTTGAAACTAAGTGGGGATGTGCTTTAACCAACCTGTGTTTTCTTGTAGCTCTACCCATGAGAAAAAAAGCAGAACCAATATGGCTGTGAAACAGGGGCGATTTTATTTGAGACATAATACTTTGTCAGAAGATATTCCCATTGTCATCATATTTAAGGTAAGGCTGCAAGTACCTACTGAAAATTATAAGGAGTCCTTCTCTGGTTAATTCTCATATGTCATTAGAAATTTCGAGGATAAGGAGTTCTAGGAATAGAAGGATTTGTGTCATAGATAAGTTGTGTCAGGAATGTAATTAATTTTAATCTGAAAGCTACTAAGATCAGGGTTCAGATGTTTTCAGAAATACTATTTTTTAATAGCTACACAATAAAAAATCCTAAAGTACAAAGGGACATATAGTGAGAAGTAAGCCTTCCACTCACCTGTACATAACCACCTAGTTATCCTACCCAAGGACACTACTGCTCCTGGTTTCTTGTGCATCTTTCTAAAGATAGTCTGTGCCTGTACAAGCACTTGAGTATATAGCAGGTTTTTATTCTGTTTTATTTTTTACTTACATACATTGCACGCCATTTTGCACTTGGCTTGTTTTCTTTTTTTGTAACTTACATCTTGGAGATCAATCGTGTTATATTATTAGTTCATACATTGCTGCCACATTGTTTCTGACAAACTGTTCCGTTATGGGTGTATGGTAGTTTACTTAATTGTTCCTCCATTGGTGGATATACACATCTCTTGCTGTTACAGAACTGCTGTAATACCACGTTACACAGAGACAAGGATATCTATAGGCAAATTAAATTCCTAGCAGTGGAATTTTCCAGGTCAAAGAATGTGAACCAAGTTTGTTATTTTTTATGCACTTTGGGAGTCTGGTGTGTTTCTACATTAATGTGAATCTTTAAAACTGATGTTTTCCAGCTTGTTTGTAAACAATAACTTAGAAGCCAAAAGACATTTTTTCCATAGAAATTATGTTTAAATGGTGCATTCTTCGCACATAATTGCAAGATGGCTCACTTAACGTGCTCTGAGACTTAAACGTTACATATGTTTTAGGAACACTTGAATCGTTGTATTAGTCATTAAACAAGATTTTAAAATAGCATTATCTGATACAGTTGATCCATGGAATTTGCGAATTCAGTTATTTGCCAATTCTACTTGCTAAAATTTATTTGTGACCTTGAAATCATCACCCGTGGTGGTTTTACGATTATTTATGCACACCCACTGGCTCAGTCTTGAAAACTTTGGGTCCCCAAACTCTCCGTTCCCAGCTGAGGCCCAAGAGAGCTGCACTCCACCTACCGTCTCTGCTTTCATGCTGTAAATAGGTACCCTCTCTGCCACCTCTGCAGTGCCATGTTCTTTCACATTTTTGTGCTTTCTGGTGGGGTTTTGCTGGGGAAAATGGCCACTAGTGCCGAGGCTGAAGTGCTGTCTGGTGTTTCTAAGTACAAGAAGGCAATGATGTGCCTTATGGAAAAACCACGAGGGTCAGGTATGCTGTATTCAGGCATGAGTTACACTGCTGCTGTCCTTGAGTTCAGAACTAGGAGTCAACAACATACGTTATCCAAGGCATCTTTGAGCAGAAACACACATAAAACAAGGCTCCATATTGATGGGCTGAAGGAAATGTAACCAGAGGCCAACAGGACCCTCCTGTGTTTCCCATGAGCAGTGCTTCCCTGTTCTCCCTGCAGGGTTTGTGGCAGCTCTGTGGAACGCAGCCCAGGAGGCTCAGACCTGACCATGTATGGGCCGGAAGTGAATCTTGCTGACGAGGCTGATCGAAGTGAAGGGCTCGGTTTGAGTCAGTCCTGAGGAGCGTGGGTACTTGGGATAAAGGTAGAGGTTAACACTTTTTTCTCATTTAGTTTCACTTCAGAGTCAAATATTCCTGTTCAGCAGTTGTCACAGTAGTAGAAACATCTCAGGTGGCAGTAACTGAGTTGCTTAGAAAGGAAAGATATTTGGGTACTCGCCTCAGAGGAGTAAGAGAGAAAGACTTAAACTTGTCGGAGTTGTGACCCAGTGACAGCAAAGGAGTGGGGGAGACAGGCCTCTTCATGTCAGGTTAGTGCAGGGACCAGTTTGGGGGTCCTGGGGTGCTAATAGGTGTTGAGTGGATGTTGAACAGTCAGGTTCTTTGACTCAGGAAATAATTGTATTCTGAATGCAATTACACGAAGAAGATTGTAGGAGGTTGCTGGTTTTTTTTAAGATTATTTTGTTATTTGAGAGAGAGCAAGAGCAACCGTGTTTGAGCAGGGGGATGGACAGAGGGAGAGGGAAAAGTAGACCCCCCCTGCTTTGAAGGGAGCCTTACTTGGGCTTGACCCTGGGAACTCAGGATTATGACCTGAGGCGAAGTCAGATACCTAATGGACTGAGCCACACAGGCATTCCTATAGGAGATTTTTTTTATGTTTAGTGCAACTTAATATACTTTTATATTCTCTAAATGAGATGGTGTCATTTTCTTTTTAGGATGATAATCATAACAGCAATACTATTTATATGGGGTTGGGAGAAGCCAGAGAGAATTCTTAACTTATTATGTCTCCTTAAAGCTTATATTTGTAAAGCACTGAAGTAATTTTGGCTTTTTTTTCTTTTTTCTTTTTTTTTTAATTTTTTAAATTTATTTATGATAGTCACACACAGAGAGAGAGAGGCAGAGACATAGGCAGAGGGAGAAGCAGGCTCCATGCACTGGAAGCCTGACGTGGGATTCGATCCCGGGTCTCCAGGATCACGCCCTGGGCCAAAGGCAGGCGCTAAACTGCTGCACCACCCAGGGATCCCTAATTTTGGCTTTTTTTGGAGGGATCCCACAGCCCCCAATGGCAGTGTCTTGTGTACATAGTGTTGATTGGCAGATGAAGAGAATTTCATCTATGTGGAATTACATCTCCAGTAGAGGGCAGTGTGTTCCCATGCATCAAAAAGACTTCGCCGATGTCTTAAGAGGCTTAAAGATGCATAGGACTGATGCAACTGAAATTATTGCATACTACATCTGAAACTAAGTATGTACTGTATGTTGGCTAATTGGATTTAAATTTTAAAAATGTATAGGACTGCTTTCCTTCGACCAGGATTTATAAGTTAAGTATAATGCATGTAGTCTTCTATTACTCACTTGGAAAATACATTGCTAGACAAATGGACACATTAAAATCAGAAAACCTTTATCAAATACTTTTTTTGGCTAGGTAACAAAATTTTGGTAAGACAGTTTCTTCTGTCAAATTTAATATTATGTTACAAACGTGTACACTGTTTATAGCCAACTTAAATCCTTTCTAAAATGTGTCTGTAAATTAACAATGTGCACTTTTATGTAACCTGCAGTTGAGATTTCAGATTTCTCCTTTTCTGATTATGAAACAGTCCTTGAATTGTACAAATTTAGGAAGCCACTAAGAAGTAGAACTACATTTTTGGAATTTTTTTTTCCAAGCCCTTTTTTCTTTGCTTTGGTAGTAGTATATACATCGATTTTACTTTTTTTTTTCCCACTTAACAGGGAATTGTGAATAGTTTTTCATATTTATAAATCTACATCATTTGTTCTACATCTAGATCTACATCTAGATCTATTTATAGATCTACATCATTATTTTTAGTAGTTATCAAACAGGAATTACACATGGGTGGTGTAATCTGTTTAACCAGTTCCCTATAGGGGGACATTTAGGTGTCCTTTCCCCCCCAAGTTTTCACTCTGAAAACATAACCCTGGGTGTTCTATATACATGTTTGTGCATATTGCTAAATATTTTATGAGACTTAATTCCTGAGAGTGGGATTATACATTTTTTAAAAAACTTGATGCAGGGGCACCTGGGTGGCTGTGGTTGAGCGTCTGCCTTTGTCTCAGGTCGTGATCCCAGGGTCCTAGGACCAAGTCCCACATCAGGCTCCCTGCGGGAAGCCTGCTTCTCCTTCTACGTATGTCTCTGTGTTTCTCATGAATAAATAAATAAAATCTTAAAAAAAAACAAAAACAAATCTTGTTGCATGTTGCCAAAATTTTTTCCTGAAACATAACCGTTGCATGGTAATCAGCAGTGTATAAGAACTAAAACAACTATTTAAATGTTTTCAGTTTAAATAAATAAGTACATTGGTCACAGATAGTCCCATTTTGTGGTCTCCTGCTAGAGGGATGTTTTAATAGCCTGATGGAACCTTGTCTGATAACTTCTATGAAGACTTTTTCATCTGGGGAGCAGCACAGAATATGGAAGATCTTAGCAACAGATCTAGGCCTAATTCCAGCTTCTCCATTTGTAAGCTGTGTGACCCCAGGCAGATTTCCCAGTCTTGGACAACTCCCCTATAAAGTGACTTGAGAGATTTATTCTGAAGAGCAAAGGAGATAATACATTTTTTGAAAAGTGGACAGCCTAGAAGGAAGATACTGTTACTCTTGCCTTTACCCTGCTTACACATTTAATATCAGGAGCTGGGGAAAATAAACTGGGAGACCAGGAAAGTCACATCATTTCTCTTTTTGTGTTGTGTGGCCCTAACACAGACCTTGACAGTCATTAGGACTTGATGGTTGTTGATTGTAACCAACAATTGGCTAAAAGTGACAGAAGCAGCAGGGTTTCCAGGTTCCATGCTGGGTCTGAATATGACGACTAAAGCTTTTTAAGACCTAGATCAGCCTTATTTATGGACTTGAATCACTACAAAGGTTCCCCTGCCCATGAATCTTTCCCATTTTACATTTTGTATTCCCAAGTGTTCAGCAGTTACTCTGTGATGGCATCTGTAGTCTGAAAGTTTTTACAGAAAAGAAGATCAAATTTCAAGGGAGCTGGGCATTGTTTCTTAGAAACTAACTTACCCTGGAATTTTTGATCTTTTAAGAAAAAAATTGCAGAATCAAAGAGGGCCATCATAGTTCTTTTATTATCTGCTAAAACTGCTTTTAGTAATAATAGATTGATTCCTGTCTAAAGAAAGATTCGAGATTTCTGAATAGTAGGTATTTTAAGAACTTATTCCCATTCCCTCCTTCAGGTAATATATTTCAGCATATCACCATCAGTGGGCATATTCTTCTCTTCTCTCATTACTATTCTGTCTTTAAAAGTCACACTTGTAGTCACACTTAGTGGGTATCCAAAGAGAAGACTTATGCCACTTCTTAAAGAGCATATGCCCTTGTGTTCTGTCTTCTTGCCAATGGTCAGACTGGGTGACCTTCTGTTGAAACGTATTTTCTCTGCTGTTTCTTCATAAGGTTATTATATAGCATTCATTTCTGACTTATTAGTTAGGTGAAATGATTTCAGATATCTGGAGTACAAAGAGTTCCATATAAAGCTAGTTTTCAGATGTCTAAATTATGTCTGTAAAGCAAAATGGTTGAGCATTTTGCTGTCGTTTCCATAGCAATATGTCATTTATTTGTAGCTGTGACTTCACAAGGCTAAATAGTCATAAAATCAGTTTGGTCTTTGGAGCTAGAGTGCTTTTGATGATAACCTGACTGAGTTATCACCCTGTAGTTCAGTGACCTGATACAGGAGGAGTTTAGTCCTTGTAGAGCAGAGCTTTGCCACTGATCATTGTTTCTGCACATATGGTGTCATTTACCATGTACTTGGCATATCTTTGCTTCATGGCTTAGAAATATTTGGAAGGCCTAAGCAGTCTGTTTAGATCCACATTAGAACACTTGAAAATTTTATGCAGTTATAAAATTACTGCTCAGATTCAGCCTCAAGACAACTTGAAGCAGCAATCCATATGTCAAATGAGGAAGGACTTTTTCCACTGTTATTAAATGCCAAAATAGGTAATGAAGCATATATAGTCTTTTTCACTTGGAGATTGCTGAACTAAAAATTAATTATTAAAATACTCCAGGTGGCTTCAGTTCAGAAGATCTAGAGGTTGATATGCCTCAAGAAAGGGGGCTGATCCAGAAAGCTACTGCCACTTCAGCTCTAAGATTCTATTTCTGTCCCAGTGAGACCTTCTCCTGCTATATTATTTTGCATGCTCAATTTGGCATCTGCCCATGTAGATATCTTTTAGTGTTTGCACTTTTCCCTGAGGAGGGAAGTGCATTTGTTACAAAGTTTTATTATCAATGATTTTAGAGAAGAGTGACTAGATTCTACTGCTAATTAATTGCCTTAATGTTGTTTTTCTTATATTTTAATTCCATTGAAACCCAGATAACACTCTTTTGAGAGATTGACAGGTAAAAGTTTATATTCTAATTAGCTTTTCACAGAAGTATTCTCATATTTCTGGCTGGCTTCTTGCGGACCAAGGAGAAAATGTAGATGGTCCTACATACATGCCATCACTGTCAGAGTAGATGCAATCAGTGTGCTTGATCAAAGGATAATCTAGAAAAATTAGAAAAGAAATATAATTTTTTTCTTCATTTGTTTAAAAATTAGAACTGATAATTTTTTAGAATTACTCTGTTAAATCCATGAAATGCTCAGTATTTTATGAATTTATATAATTTTTAAATAGTGGAGTTTTATGTCTAGCGTCCTTTTAAATAAATGCATCCTATCAAACTAGAGATAAAAAGATGAAAATTAAAGTATAGAAAAGAGATTTGTGTTGTGAGAGCATCTTTATTTGTTCACTAAACAAAAACAAATTTGAACAAAACAAGTTATATCTTTATGAAGCTTTTGTTTTTTTAAAGATTTTATTTATTCATGAGAGACACACAGAGAGGGGCAGAGACACAGGCAGAGGGAGAAGCAGGCTCCCTGCAGGGAGCCTGATGTGGGACTCAATCCTCAGGATCACACCGTAAGCCAAAGGCAGAGCTCAACCGCTGAGCCACCCAGGCCTCCCTTTATGAAGCTTTTTAAAGTTTAAATGGCAAATTTAATTCCAAAAGTTGGTTTGTTAGTTATATGTGCTGTGTAACAAATTACAGCAGAGTTTCTGTTGGTCAGAGATTTGGAAGTTGCTCAGTTGGGTGGTTCTGACTCAGGGTCTTTCAGGAGTCAACCAGGGCTCTTTCAGATGTCAGCCAGGGCTTAAGTCACCCGAAGACTGGACTGGAGCATGTCAGGGTCTGCTCCCCTCGCAGCTCCACTGTAATGGGAGTTGGCTTTTCCCCACTGGACCTTTCCATAGACTGAGTGAGTGTCTTCCAGACATAGCCCCTCGCTCCCCCAAGGAGCACTCTAAGAGAAAGAGGAAGCAGGAAGCTGCAGTGCATTTCATAACCAGGCCTCCAAAGTTGTACTGTGGCTTGCACATTTTTTCTATAGAAGTGAGTCATTAAGTTTAGCCTACACTCAAGAGTTTGTCTTTACCTTTTGAAGAGAGTGTCAGAGAATTGGTGAACATTTTTCAAACCACCACAGTTGGCCTAAAAGGGACATAGCACATATTTAGCTTCCTCAACAAAAGTTTCAAAACTTCCCGTAAGTTTACATCTGTTCCTAAAGTATCCGTATTGAATTTCTGGACCACAGATGACTCAAATTCAAATGTAGACTTGTAGAATTTTGAGTCCTCTTGTTATAGACCTGAAGAAATATAGGTGGACAAAGTTGACTTGGCAGTGGTGGTTGTGAGGTCTGTCATTGGCCTTGTTTTAGGACAGACACCTCAGATCTCTTGACTTAGGTGCCCTTTCCATTGTATTCTGGCTTAGGTTCTTGATGTTCCTCCCTGGAACTTGGGATTCGGTTTTCCCTCCCTCTCCCTTTTGTCTGAACTGGCCACCAGAGCTTCAAAGCCCAGCTAGATAGGTATCTCTGGTTCTGTCTTCTCTGCATAGCTAAAGGAAGAATTTTAATGCAAACATAACTTTTCCCGTAACTTCTAAGAAGCAGATTCTTTCTCTGCCAAGAGAGGTTTAGTGAGATTATGTTCTATTTCTTGAAATGGCAGAATTCCAGGCAAACGTGTGAAGGAGGGAGCCATCGTGCCATATGGAATCCACAAAGACCTGCCTTGCCGGCTGCCACCTTGAAACACTTAAGAGAAGTGGGTTTCTTAAACCTCTTCAGTGCTTTTTTAGTTAAAAAAAAAAAAAAAAATCTCTTCTTAAAACCTGTGTAAAACATAGATTGATATTTCTAGAATAGTGAGGTACAACATCCTTTAGGGAAAATTCTTCAAGCCCGAATGTGAATGATTTGACAGTTCTCAGAAAAATTAGTCTTGTGACAAAACTAATTGGGGTTCTGTTTATTTTCAGCAATGCATATTTTCTGATTTACTGCTCTTTGACCGTTTTAATTTTTTCAGTTTGCTTTCGTAATTGTGACCAGTGTCTCCACTATACCTTTCTACCTCCTTTTTTCAGTGATGACAGTCATAGGATATTTAAATATTTTAGAAGATTGCATATATGCAAAAAGTGCTTGAGAATGTTTGTTTTCCTCTTCCCAATCGAAATTTCTGTTTCAGGTTCTTCTGCAGCTTGGGCTAGAGCTGCCAATGCCAGATGGCACCGTTTCTGAGAAAAGAGCTAGCTTTTGCTTAGAAGTAATACCCACAAACAATGCCAAATTAGCATAAGCAAATGTCAGTGAGTTAACACAAAGCCAACACTCTTTCTATCTTTTCTTTCCTTCCTAGGCCATGGGTGTTGAGAGTGACCAGGAAATTGTACAGATGATTGGAACAGAGGAGCACGTGATGGCTGCATTTGGGCCCAGTTTGGAAGAGTGCCAGAAAGCTCAGATTTTCACACAGATGCAGGTGTGTCTTTTCATGTTGTCCTTTGCCATGAAAGGGAATTGGAGATTTAATGCTGCTCATGGATAAAGCATCGGATGCGGTGACTTCTTGGGGTGTAGGTGTGGGAGGGTGTTGGGGAGTTGGGAGGAACAGTAGGGAAGCTTCTTTGACTCATGTTTTAGGAATTAGAGGAAGGAATTTGCCTTAACAATTATCAGCCTGTGGTGTCTAACTTAGAAGGGGGATATGTGGCCAAGAGGCTTTTGTTCTGATATAATAACAAGTATTCTGTTTTTTCACTTATTTGCCTGAGTGATATGTTTTTGTTTATTTTTTATTTTTTTTTAAGATTTGTTTGTTTATTAGAGTGTGCATGAGGGAGTGTGCAAGCGGGAGGGACAGAGAGGGAGAATCCTGAGCAGACTCTGTGCTGCGTGTGGAGCCTGATGTGGGGCTCTATCTCACGACCCTGAGATCATGACCTGAGCTGAAACCAGAAGTGGGACACTTAACCTACTGCCCACCCAGCTGCTCTAATAGATGTTTTTGAACTATAGCAACTCTAGTGTAGAAGATTGTTTTTTTTCCTGCATTTCTCTTCAATTTCTCTTTTTATTCCCTATTTCCAGTTCTCAGTGTCTAGTTGAATGTTGTCTCAAACTCTTTTTCTGAATTCCCCATGTCAGCAGTGAAAAAGCCAGGATCAGAAACCCTTTACCAGTACAGAGCCTTCATCAGCCTGCTGAAGAACTCCTAGTTGAAACTTGGGGATTTTAGGATAAGACTCAAGCTATATATATCCATAGCTCCCTGCCTTCATCTATATATATGCTCAACATATTAAGAATAATTTTACTTACCTTTGTTTGTGACAGGGAGCCCTAAGAGCCACGCTTAGGGTGCTTAGTCCTACATTTGTAAAGTACTTCACTAAATATAAATCAGTGGCAACACTCCTCATAGACATCCTGGGAGGTAGGGATTCCCTGCAGTACAAGTACAATAGTTCTTACTTACCCATATGTACATTGTCAATTCTGTGGGTTACTTACAACAAGGTATAAATTCCAGGCTGCTTTTTTCTTGTTACCCAGGATGCTTACAGAGATAACATTTTCCCACTTATATCATCTGTTAGTGTGTGTTCTGAAAATCACACCACTCTTGATATTTTCATAGACTGAGCCAGACAGACATTTAAGGTTAATCATCATATGTAAGTTTATATAATTCCAAAGCACAAATCAGTAGGGATTATTCTTACCACTGCCTTCCTCTTTTTATGCAGTTAAGTAATAGCCAATTCAGGTTCTTGGGCAGGCAGCATCAGGAGAAGCTATTTAGATTTAGGAGTTTCTACTTTTGGTCTTTATTGAAAATGAAATATTTAGTAAGCATGAATCTTTGTTACAAACTGGAATTATATTGTTCAAGGGTTCCAAGAACATGAAGAGGAAACATAGAGAAATACCCAGGAGTTGGCTCAATTTGGGGAGACACACGATTTCCTTTAAAGCTGTGTAATGCTCAGGAAGAGCAGTTTACCTCAATGATACTTCAGGGAGATCCGTTATTCATTTCATAACAAACAGCACCATTGTTGCTCAGATAACCCGATAACCCCAGCATCGTAAAGCTGTGTGAGCACAGGGCTAAACAGTGGGTTGGAAAATCATTTATTTCTCCTAAATAGGTGCTGACAGAAAATGTTAGCTAACCCAATGAGCAAGGTTCAGTTCAAAGATGAGAGGAATATGCAAACAGGAGCTGAGTGATGTGACTCATACTCTGTGTGCTGGATTAGAGCACGGATTAATAATTTGCAACTAATAAGAGGCTATAGAGGCATGCATAATCCAAAATCATTGGTAACTGGAACCTATGAGTTAGGGCACGTGATTATTGCATGTTACTCTGAGCATGTGGCAGGTGCACGGTGTCTTATGTAATAGAACTTCTGCACTTAGTGGATTGCTAAATGCCTGTGTCGTGTTTGTGTTTAATGCTTCCCTTGTTATATCTCCTCCATTCCTTTTGCTGGCTCTTGCTAACGGACATTTTCTGTCATCCTTGTAAGGGCTGTGGCATAAAAAGAATTATTTATTACCTTTTTGGAGAATAGGATGTCCTCCAAGATGACACGAGGGGTGTCATCTTGGCCTATTTGTGAGCAGGTTGGGCTCTCACCCCAACCCTCACACTGTTGAAACCCTGGCAACATTATTAGTAACTCCAGGGAAAAGCTGGCTTCCTGCTAACTCAGAAGGGGTTCTAGGCTCCCCTGTGTTCCTCCATTTTTTCCCTCAAAGTGAAGAATCTTCGACCCCTTTCCCAAAGGAACGGGAAGACCAAAATTTAATGAGACAGCTCAGTTGAGAGAAGACCGAACTGCCTATCTCCTGGTGGTTTCTGCTGACTGCGGGCTTGCTTTTATCTGCTTCTGGGTCCTACTTCTTGCTAGGTCGCGACAGCAAGGGTTGGCACCATCTTAGTTTATCTTACGCTCTAATGGACACTAAATGGAGAGAATCCTAGGTCTGATATCCCGATCTAACCACGAAGGAGTTCCGTTCTGTTCCTGGCCCTGAACTAGTCCTCAGGAATCAAAGAATGACACAACACCTAGTAGGAGCAACATACCTGTAAATAGGTAAAATATGGCATGGACTGAAGTGGAATGAAAGCACTTAATTCTTTATACATAAGAAATTCACACAGAAGAGAAAAAGGAGTGATGTGAGGAAGTGACACCAGAGCTAGGTTTTGAAGCACAGGAAAGATACTTCCAGGACACATAATTGGGACAGGGGTTCTAAGATAAAGAATCAGGAATCTCCGCTCTTTCTTCTGACTAACTGAAAGCCAGTTTTAAAAAGTACATTCATTGTTGTTACAAAATTACCCTCTCCTTTAAAAGATGTTATGAATAAACATCAACATACATAAAATAATACACAAGAGTGTTATGAGCCCTCCTCTGCCCATCACCCGGCTTCAGTAATTACCAACACTCTGATGTTCTTGTTTCACCTGAATCTCCACCTACCCCTCATACCCACTATTTGATTAGTTTTTTATACTTCATTTTTTAGGTAGAATTTATGTATGCTGAAATGTACAAATCCTAATTGCATCATTTTGCATAAGATATAGAGTGTTTTTCCATTACCCTGGGAAGTTCCCACATGCCTCTTCTTAGTCACTTTTTATCTCCATCCTCTGATTTTTTTCCCCACTTTTCTGATTTTTCACCACAGATTAATTTTGCCGTTCTAGAACTTTATTTATATGGAATTGTACAGAATATACTCTTTTTGTCCACTTTCTTTTGCTGAATGTACTGTCTGATAATTTTATGTCATTTGTCCATGCAGTGCCTTCTTATTGCTGAGTAGTACCCATTATACAAGTGTTCCACACTTTATCTTTTCCTGCTGATGAACATTTGGTTTTTTTGCTCTGGGTATTAAGAATAAAGTTTCTGTAAACATTCTTGTATAAGTCTTTGCCTGAACAGGTCAGCATTTCTCTTGGATAAATACGTCTAATTAGGATTGTTGGGTCAAAGAGCAGTTGTGTATGTAACTTTTATAAAGTTGAAACTGCCAAACCTTTCCCCAGAGTAATTGTACCATTTTGCAGTTCCATTCCAGTGCATGAGAGTTCTCATTGCTTCATGTCCTCACCAACATTTGGTCTTATCAGTCTTTTTAATTTTAGACATTCTACTAGGTGTTGGATGGTGTCTATACCATTAAGGTTTAAACATACATTTCCCTGATAATTAACGATGTTGGACACTTTTCTTGGACTTACTGACCTTTTTTGTAAAGTGTCCAAATCTTTTGCCGTTTTCCTCACTGAGTTGTTTGTCTTTTTAGTATTGAATTTCAGAGTTCTTTTTTTAAAAAAGTATGCTGGGTATAAATCCCTTGTCAGACTTATGTATTGTAACTATTTTTTCTCTGTCCATTGCTTCCCTATTCATTATCATAACAGTATCTTTTGATGAGCCGTGTTAATTTTGATAAAATCTGATTGTCAGGAGGGGTTTTTTTTTTGTTTGTCTTATGGTTCTTGATTTCTGTGTCCTGTGTAAAGAAATTTTGCCTACCACAAGGGCAAGAATATATTCTTCTGTGTTCTTTCCTAGAAGCTTTATAAAGGTTTTAGTTTTTATGTTTATGTCTCAAATCCATTTAGACGGATTTTTTATTTGGTGTGAGGTAGGGGTCAAAGTTAATTTTTTACTGTGTAGATATGTTGGTATTTCAACATTTGTTGAAAAGATTTTTCCCTTGCCTATTGAACTGTTTTGGCGGCTTTTGCCAAAAATCATCTGATCTTAAAAGCATGAGTTTATTTCTGGACATATTTTGTTCCATCTATTTGTCTGCCCTTATGCCAGTCTCACACTGTCTTGATTACCATAGCTTTCTAATTGAAAGCAGGTAATGTAAAATCTTCCAACTTTTCCTTTTCAAAAGTATTTCAGCTATTCCAGGTCCTTTGCATTTGCATGTCAATTTTAGAATCAGCTGATTTTTGTGTTTTTTTTTTTTTAATTTTTTTTAAATTTTTATTTATTTATGATAGTCACAGAGAGAGAGAGAGAGAGGCAGAGACACAGGCAGAGGGAGAAGCAGGCTCCATGCACCGGGAGCCCGATGTGGGATTCGATCCCGGGTCTCCAGGATCGCGCCCTGGGCCAAAGGCAGGCGCCAAACCGCTGCGCCACCCAGGGATCCCTGATTTTTGTTTTTTAAAAACTGCCAGGAATAATTATGATGTATCTATAGTCAGTTCAGAGGGAATTTTAACAGTAAGCCATCTTAACACTATTAAACCTTCCAGTCCATGAAACCAGCATAGTCCTTGATTTACTTAGGTTTTATATTCTTTTAGCAGTGCTTTGCAGCTCTCAGGATCTTTACATGGTATGATTCCTTTTTAAGGGAAGAAAAGTACAGCTCCAGAATGTTAACTGGGGACTGTGGTTCTCTTTGGGTAGAGGATTGCTGGCTGCTTCATATATGTAAAGTGATCAGGTATCAATTTTGTAGTAAGAAAGCAAATTATAGAAAAGAAACAAGTTTATTGGACAGCATATAATGCTACTTTGTTATTGATTTATGATAAATGTTGATTTTTGACTAAGCTTCATGCAGCAATCTCCATAGCCAAAATCCTCATCTTTTTGTTTATAGTGTTTTGTATGGGTAGGTGTTTAATAAATTCCCTGCAATGGGGACACCTGGGTGGCTCAGTGGTTGAACATCTGCCTTCAGCTCAGGTCGTGATCCTGGCGTCCTGGGATCAAGTCCCACATCAGGCTCCCCGTAGGGAGCCTACTTCTCCCTCTGCCTGTGTCTCTGCCTCTCTTTCTGTGTCTCTCATAAATAAATGAATAAAATCTTTAAAAAATTCCCTGCAATGGGGGATCCCTGGGTGGCTCAGTGGTTTAGCGCCTGCCTTCGGCCCAGGGCGTGATCCTGGAGTTCCGGGATCGAGTCCCGCATCAGGCTCCTGCATGGAGCCTGTCTCTCCCTCTGCCTCTCTCTGTCTCTGTATCTTTCATGAATAAATAAATAAAATCTTAAAAAAAAAATTCCCTGCAATGGGTGTCATCCAAGCATTATTATATTCTCTTTTTATAGGCATTAAAATATATAGGGAACAAAGTAAGGAGGCAAAGGATGTGGGGCGGTGGACCAAAGAAGACGAAGATAGAAGAGGCAAGAGAGCTCCTGGCTTCTACCATCCTCACACACGTGCCAGTGAGTGGCAGCTGCACAGCTGTGAACTGTGGTCAAGGGGGGGCCCGTCTGTTAAAGAATTTTGAATATAGGTTTACATTATTTAACATCTAGTTCCATAAGAAAAGATGGACTCTGAACAGACTGGACTGCACCATGGAAATAATCTTCTATTATCAGTAGTTTGTTTGTACTTCAGGAATGTTAGCTGTCTACTATCATTGGCATCATGTTTATTCTCTCATGGGTCCTGGTTTCAATCTAAAATTACAGTTTCTTATATTCATACATATATTAGTGCTGCTACTAGATTTCATGGTTTTGAAGGACAGAGATGGTGTTAGATGTTTTTAAATGAAACAGGCTTACAGTGCCTTGCTCATATACTCTGTTTTATTGTAAAATACATAACATAAAATTTACCATTCTTAAGTGTATAGCCCTGAGTGCATTCTCACTTGTGCTACCATTGCCACCACAGACTTTTTAAAATATTGGATGGTTCATCTCTTAGACCTTGAATGTTCAAGTTCACATTGTCCAGCCTCCTTTACTTAAAGTGAGATGCTCAGGTCCAGACAAGCTGGATGGTTTATCTTGTCACCCAGCTGGCTACTGGTCAGAGAGAGAACTAGAATCTGTCTTCAGACCCTAGAACAGTTGACCCTCGAATAACACAGGTTTGAACTGTGTGGATCCACTTAAATTTGTTTTTTCTTTCAGTAAGTACAGTACTGTAAATGTATTTTCTCTTATGATTTTCTTGAGAACTCTTTTTTGTAGCTTTCTTTATTAGAAGAATATATTATATAACAATCAAAATATGTGTTCTTGGCTGTTTATGTTATCATAAGATTTTTGGTCAACAGTAGGCTATTAGTAGTTAAGTTTTGGAGGAATTAAAAGTATACACAGATTTTTGACATAGCGAGGGGTCGGTGCCCCTAACCCATGTTGTTCAAAGGTCAGTTGTATTTACTTTTTATTCATTTTCGTTAAACAGAGATTGGCCATGTGGGATGTGGGCAAGAGCTATCATTCCTCTCTAATATTATTCTTCTAAGCAAAAGAATTATTTGTTAAACAATCTTGCTAACCAAATAGTCTGGTTTATAATGAGTTACATGTCTGTTGTTCATGAACGATCTAATTCAGGGGTTGCAGACTCTACCGTGAGGAGCTGATCATAAAGGACAGTCGAAGGATCAATAGAGGTGGAGACTGACCACCTAAACAGTTTCATTTCTCATTAAAACACCTTGCTGGCTAAAAAATATACAGATCTCTGATTCTGCCCTTTGGCTGCCATTTGTATGTGTTTTGAGCTAATTCAAAGAATTAGAAAATTCTTAATATTAAAGCTGGGACTCAAAGGAATTTTAAACTCCTGAATGACTGGAAAGACCATTTAAAAGTCAAATAGCAACAGTGAGTGTCTCTGGCTCCCCAGTGCTTTTCTAAGCAGCCTCTCTGTCCCCGGTAGTGTCCTGGCCCTTTTGCCATGGTGCCTAGTGACCCAGAGAAAGGAAGTGACAACTCTGAGTTCCCAGACCAGCCCAAGCAGGGTTAGTGGGTACCACCTCTTTGGAAGAGTGGAGGAATATATACATGAAATGTATAGGGAAGGAAGGAGTTGATAGTGGCTAATGTGCATTGCCTCAGAAATTTTCTCTAACTCCTGAATTAATTACAGGTTAAAGAATTCAATTTCCGAGCGAAGTGTATCTACACTGCAGTGATGGTGCGAAGAGTAATTCTGGCCCAAGGAGATAATAAAGTGGATGACCGAGACTATTATGGTAACAAGCGATTGGAGTTGGCAGGACAGGTGATTTAATTACTTTATGTCAGCAGGCCTGAACTTCAGATGTGGGCTTCAAGGTTTTTCAAAGCATGAATGCTTACTTGCAATCCTCATATTAAAACAAGTAAAAGACGAGCCTCGCTACCTGACATGCAGTCCTAGGGCTTATTTCTCTGCCCACTTTCCCTTTTCCTCCAGCTCCTCTGTGGAATTCATAAAAGTTCACTCTATAGAACAAAGTGTAGACTCTTAGCAGGGCTTGTGGGATCCCTGATGATGTTGGCGCCAGTACACCTTTCTAGCCCTGCCTCTTGCCAGGGCAGGCCACTTACATCTTCCCAAGCATACCCTGATGCTTGTTCATCCTACCATGCCTTTGACTCATGCCTTCTGCCTAAGTTGCTCCCTTGTTTCCCTCTGCCCCCTCCCTAGTGAGGTGCTCCCGCCCATCCTTCATTCTTTGAGTTATCCTCTTTGAAACCTTCCATGAATCCTAGGAGATGTTAGTTGATCTGTCTTCCAGATGTGCCAGTGGCACTTTGTTTAGGTTTTTTTACATGCTGAAGTGTATATAATTCTTTACCTGCAAGTTTCTTTCCCCCTTAGCCAGTAAGCTCATCAAAGACAGGAATCGCTTATATTTCTCTCTTGGATCCACATGCAAAGTTACTAGGCACCAGAGGATGTCTGGGTGAGTGACACTCTGTGAGGCACCTGCTCTCACAAGTTGGTGGAGGGGAGAGAGACAGTGAACAAGTGAACAGGAAAGAAATGAGATAGTATTAAATAGTCCTAGGTGTTTAAAGAAAACTCCCCTAAAAGGTTAATGTTAGAGAGCTGTCGTGTTGGTGGAGGGAAGGATATTACCTTAGTGAGGTAAGATCAAAAAAGATCTCTTTGAAAAAAGCGATGTATGTTAAGCTGAGCCCTCAGACATTCCTGCTGAGACTTGAGTGAAGAGAAGCCAGTCTCTTGCAACCTCAGGAACCATGTTCCAGCAAGAGACCCTTGTGAGCGCATCCATCCCTACACAGTTCCAGCAATGGGGAGCTGGAGGAGGATCACTGGGCCGAACTGAATGAGGTGTGGGGATGGGGAGGACTTGGAGAACCGCCTATGGGCCAAAGAAGGGGTTTGGATTTAGTTTTCCACATAGTGGACAACCATTGGAGAGTTTCAACCAGGGAAGTAACGCTATCTGATTTTCAGTTGATCAGATTTGGAGACAAACAGGCCAGGGAATGAGCAGTTAGAAGGTTGTGGCAATATTCTAGATGACACATGATGGTGGCTAGCATAACAGATACTACAACTAAAATTTTAAAACTAGGATTAAAAAATGATAGCAATTTTGGGTTTTAGAAAAGGGCTAGTGTCTAGACTACTGGAGAAGTTTTGTGTGGTTACTAGGTAATGTTAGCAGGCGGGTTTTCTGCCACTTTCAGATTTACCTCTGTTCAGGGTATTACAGGTATCCCCACCACTATCAATCCTAATTTTTAGTTTCTTAATGGGAAGAAATCATGGTATTAAATGAGTTCATTAAAAAATGTTGATTGTTTAGAGGAATAAGGAATGGAGTCAGGAGAGGAGACACTATCCTGTTGCTTAAAAAATTAGAATTAAAAAGAGGGTTCCCATGTGCAAGAAAACATTGCTTTATAAACAATGTAAAGACATAAAAGGCATTGTGTTGGCAAAAATGTGTAAAAACAATAGCTGCTAATTTCACACCCCATGGGACGAGGGAGTATAAATGTGCTTCAGCTTTAGATAACAGAGCTGCATCCACTGGCCAAGTGGGTTCACAGAGCTTTTCCTCAGTCTTCCTGCCACCAGAGGGCTGGCAGGCCAGCCGCCAGTAGAGGTGTTAGCAAAACCTACCGATTTCAGGCTTAATCTTTTCACCTACCTTTTCTTTTTCGGTAATGTGTTCATTATTTGCTGAGCATTACTCTATTCTTTGTCTGCAAATTTTTTGTTTCTAATGCAGCTTGCTTTGTATGGGTGAGATATGGAACGGCACCAAAAATCCGGCACCCTGGAAAGCCAGGGATTTCCACCCTGTGACAAAAGAATGCCGTCTTGACTTCAGAGATTGCCTAATCCCAGCTGTTCTGATAATGTAATTAAGGCTGCCTAATGTCTTTAATTTTGCAACCAGTTTGTGTGAAAAGGAGAATTTGGCACAATGAAGGCTTAACACTAAATAGCAATCTCAAGACGCCTAATTAGAATTCTCTGACATTAAGCTAATTGGTGAAACTGTATTTCAGCAGCTTAACTTCTTTATTAATTTTTTTAGCATTTTCATTGCAAATCAATTGATGAGCTGTCAGCATTTTTTCCCTTAAATATAATTTGCTCTTTAGTGTTCCTGTTGTAAGCAGGCTGGAAGGCCTCATAGTAGCAAGGAAGGGTGTTGAATATTATCACCAGCACTTCATCGCTTTTAATCATTTTACTCTTGACCTAAATAATGTGACTTATTATACGATGTGGCCCTATAGTTTCTCACTGCCCTGTGAACAGGAGAATGCAGTTTCTCTTAAACCGAACATCTAGAGGTGTGGAAATTTAATGAGGCAGTAGTTCCGTCGAGCGTACTCCTACGTTTTACTTCTTTAGTGTGAGAGGCATTTCCTTGGTGTGAATCGGGGGGGGGGGAGGTGAAGGGGGAGACAAATTCAGCTGGAATCCAAAAAATCTTTGTCATAACTTGAGACACAGAAGTCTAAGTGTAAAGGGCTAATTAAAATAGAGCTGAGCTTCTGTGATTTAGGTTAAGGGCATTTACTTCTGTTCAGGATGCTTTATTCAAGTTCCTTTTGCCAGTTTCCACAGGAAGTTGCTGCAATGGGCTTCTTCATCCCACTCACCCCTCTGCACCTGCTCCCATTCCCACATCCTTTTCTTTCCATGAGTGAAGCTGCAGGGTCTTCGTGGAAGAAAGGATTAAGCTCTCAGAGGAGGAAGTTTTCTTTTTTAGAACACTTCTGACATGGTATAGTCAAATTTAAGATCCGGGTTTTCCTATCTGCAGAGTGGATTTTAGTAGAAAGACGTGTCTAACAAAATCACATTCCACTTTGGAAATCTCACTTTGGTAGTAAGTAGCTTGAAAAGACTCATTTGTTTTGAATATCTTCATTATGAATCCAAAAACTACCTATGGGTTTATAAACATTCAAGAGTATAGTCCGTTTGGAACTTGGAAAATCTTTAGCTTACTGAGGTTCAGAATTTCCTTGTAAGTAAATGATGTGGTATGTAACACCTCAGTGATAGTACTTTAATGTTTTGTTAGGTAACTTACATTACAAATATGTCAAGGCTTTTTCTTTTAAAGGAAAAAAAAGGGCCTACAAAGGGACAAAAAACTAGTGCAATTAATTTTACAGAGGAACTTAAGTACTTGTAATATCCATTTTAATATTGAAGAAGTGTACTTGCTATTTATTAGTAGTGAGACACCTACTTAGGTGTCTCAAGACACCTAAGAACTTCTTTTTTTTTAAGATTTTATTTATTTATTCATGAGAGATGCAGAGAGAGAGGCAGAGACACAGGCAGAGGGAGAAGCAGGCTCCATGCAGGGAACCTGACGCAGGACTCGATCCCAGGTCTCCAGGATCAACCCCAGGCTGAAGGCGGCGCTAAACTGCTGAGCCATCTGGGCTGCCCTAGTTTCAAGAACTTTATATAAATGGCTGGTTATCTCTTGCTATGTGGCATAGTATCCCAAAACGGTGGCTTAAAACAACAACCATTACTTTATAACTTACAGCTTTATGGGTCAGGAGTTCAGGCAGGATTTGGCTGTTTGATTCTTCTGTTTTACATGGTGTTGGAGGTCAGTTGGTAGTATTCTACAAATGGCTGTGGGGAGGGCTGGAAGGCTGGTCTTGGCTAGGACCTGACCTGACCAGGGCTGTGGCTCAGGGCTCCAGACGAATGTTTCCCACCAATGAGACAGAACCCATGTCGCCTTAATGAGCTAGGCTTCAGTTTCATTTATTTCTACTATATTGGGAGAAGCAATTATAACTTCTACCCACATTTGGGCCAGTGGGAGGACTTGGGCCACACCTCTCAATGTGTAGTTCAAGGGTCAACCAGAAATTTCTTTAAAATTTAAAAATTTTTAAATATTTTATTACAATATAAGTTTTTTTTGCTTATTTTTGGGTTTTGTAAAAATAGATTCATACTGGGGTGCCTGGCTCAGTTGGTTAATAAACATCTGCCTTTGGCTCAGGTCATGGTCTTGGTGTCCCAGGATCAAGCCCCATATCAGGGTCCCTGCTCAGCGAGGGGTCTGCTTCTCCCTCTGCCCCTGACCCCGCTCATGCTTACTCTCTCACACTCTCACTCTCTCAAATAAATAAAAATCCTTAAAAAAAAGGTTTATAATTTATTCATTTTTTGCAACACTTTTTGTCACTCAGCATTATATTTAATATTTATTTTGTTGCATGTCACTATACTTCCAGTTTTGTATTATATTCTATTGTATATATGGAATATGATGTGATATTTAAGATATATATGATAAATAACACTTTATCCATTTTACCAATCATTTCTCTTTATGATTTCCCTTTTTAAAAATTATTAACATTCTTATTTATATTTTCTAGTGCAAGAATTTCTACAAATAGGAATGCTTAGTCCTGGAGTCAAGTTATATCTTCAGTTTAACTGGAGACTATCAGACTAGTTTCCCAAGTATTTGTATGTTGACTGTTTATGAGTTCCTCATGATCTCCATCCTATGTCTTAGTATCAAACTTTAAAAACTTTTGTCTAGTGGGTGTAAAGTAGCATCTCCTTATGGTATTAATTTGCATTTTCCTTATTGATTTAAAGGGTTTTTTTTTTTTTGTAAGTTTGGGTTTTGCTAATGATATACTCATGATGTCTTTCTATATATATTTTTTTTCCTCTCTATTTTTCTCTTCTCTAAATTTCTTGTAAACCAGGAGTTAAATTCATAGGCTAGATCATATTCAAATTCTCTCTCTCTCTCTCTTTTCTTTTTTGGCTAGTATGCTTCTTGGGTTGCACTATACAGTTTGCTGTTGTATCCTATCAGGAAGAATATGACTGGTTGTATCTACACTTTGTGCCATTGGAATTGGTCACTGGGTTTAGGTGTTTGGGCCCTGATTGATCTGTTTTAAAGTTCCACATCAGCTTTTCTCCTGATGGTTTTATTTAACAGCTGATGATGATCATTCCATTACCTTGATTAGGGCATGGAAAATAGTGATACTCTACTCTTTCTGCCTTTTTTTTTTTTAAGCTGGAGTTTTTTCAATAAAGAATATTTTTCATTATCATCTCTTCGGTTACCGAGACATAATTTATATGGGAAAGGCAGGGTAAATGCTTGCTAGATTTTTTTAAACCAGGTTATAGACTATTGATTTAGCTATCTCATTTCTTCCACAGATGAAGGCTTTTTTTTTTTCCTTTCTATCATCATGAACTTAGGAGTTTAACATTTTTACTTATTATTTTTATTTTTTTTAACATTTTTACTTAAATGTTAGTATTGCCATTTCCATTTTTTTTAAAAGGGGATGCTAGTTTCTGATTGATATTTTGATTGAATTTATAGAATAATTTGGGGAGAATTGACATCTAAGTAATACTGAGTCTTCAAATCTGTGAACATAGTATATCTCTACTACTGAGATTCTCTTTAATGTCTCTCAGTAATGTTTTAAATACAGTTTCTTTTAGGGGCACCTGGGCAGCTCAGTCAGTTAAGCATCTGACTGTTGGTTTCTGCTCAGATCATCTCAGACTCCTGAGATTGAAGCCCGCATTGGGCTCAGTGCTCAGCTGGAGTCTGCTTGAGATTCTCTCTTTCCCTCTCCCTCTGTCCCACTCCCTGCTCATGCTCTCCCTCTTCCTCTCTCTCTCTCTCAAATAAATCTTTTAATAAAATTTAAATACAGTTTCTTTTTGTATACTAACCTTGTATCTTGCAGGCTTGCTGAGCTTAATTGGTTCTAGTAGGTTCTGTTTTGTTTTTTTAAAGACTCTGAGACTTCTTACGTGGACATACATGTTATTTGCAAGTAATGGCAGTTTTACTTCTTCCCTTCCAACATTTATATATTTTCTTTTTCTTGCCCCTAGTGCCCTGAATGGTACCCCCAATCCCATGTTGAATAGAAGTGGTAAAAATGGGCAATCTGTCCTATTCCTCAATTTTATAAAGTGAAGCTTTCAGTTTCCTGCCCTTTCCTGTGGTATGTGGCTTTTGCTATGTACCAGTGCAGGATCCTTGACCCAGGCCTGTTTCCTGCTCCTCTCAGGGAAAGTTGCAGTTTGGCTTCTGGTCCTCTTCCATCTGGCCTGGTATCTTTTCCTGGAATTGGTGGCCAGAGGGTGAACTGGCCTTCCTCCAGCGGTAGACTTGCTGTTCTTATTACTGGATGCAGGGCTTATGGTGGGAGCAGGGGGCTTTCCTTTCCACCCTCAAGGTAACAGAAGGCTTCTATCCCTTCTCAGTGCAGGTCACCTTTCCCTGGAACTATATTGTCAGGAGGGTTTCCTGATGCTTCTCTGGCAACTTAAAGATTTTGTTTCATATGAGCAAAAGTCCAAGGAAATAGGGTTTTGTTGCTTGTTCCAACGAAGGCATCTTTCTCCAGTCTTTTGTGAGCACTCCATGGAAAAGAACTTGTGAATGCGAATCCTCTTGTGTCTGAGGCTCCAAATGATTCTAAGCTTTCGTAGTAGCTCACATTTGGCATTTAAGAAGTCCTTAAAATTTTGTCTGATTCTTCTGGGGCAGACATCATCATCTTTGTCATATGTCCCATCTCTCTCTGAACAGACTGTCACCATTTGTATTCTGTTCACCTGGGTGCCTTGCAACCTTGCAGAAATATATGATTTTGTAGCCGATTTATCTTTTTTTATTAGAGTGGATGTTGTCTTCTGGCTTTCTACTTCCTACTGGATGTGGAATTTGCAAATCTTTCATAAGCTCTCCACTCCCTCCAAATCCTAGCCTTCCTTCCATCTCTGGTATTCATCTGTTTCATGAAATCATTCATTAATGTTGTTTTCCAATAATCTTAGGATGAGGACGTAAACACTTTTTTTTCCTAGCATAGGCTGAGCTGTCTTGTTTCAGACTTTACTTTGGTCTCTGTTGCCTTTATATCATTCTCTGCTTATGTAGACTTGTGCCCAGACCACTAGTCTGAGGATTGGTATTGTCCATGGGCCAGTTTTCACTGGTCTGGAGAGGAATGAATAAGTATGGATGGTAAGGGTTTTATGGAGCAAATTGTATTTATTTCTTGTTTTTCTTCTGAGATTATTTGCTCTGCCTTAATATGTCATTTTGAAATGAGATGATGTTAGAGTAATTGGTGGATATTGTATTATATAACCTTTTTATTAAGAAATATTACATACAAAAAAGTTCATGAAACATTTTAGCTTAACAAATTGTAATAAAACAGATACCTTTGTACATAGCACTCAGATTGAGAAAAAAAAAATCATTTGAACAGTTTAGAAGTCATCCCTTGGGGATCCCTGGGTGGCACAGCGGTTTGGCGCCTGCCTTTGGCCCGGGGCGCGATCCTGGAGACCCGGGATCGAATCCCACGTCAGGCTCCCTGCATGGAGCCTGCTTCTCCCTCCGCCTGTGTCTCTGCCTCTCTCTCTCTCTCTCTCTCTCTCTCTCTCTCTCTGTGACTATCATGAATAAATAAATAAAATCTTTAAAAAAAAAAAAAAGGATGGGAGACTTTAAAAAAAAAAAAGTCATCCCTTGCCCACAACATGGTCCTACCTGATCAAAATCCTCCCCATAGCCTGATTTTTATGATATTCATATCCTTGATTTTTCTGTAGAGTTTTGCCATCAAATTATAGTTCAGTTTTGCTATTTTGAACCTTGTGTCAGTGGAATCATATCATACATATTCTTTTGTATGTGGCTTCTTTCACTCAATATTATGCTTTTAAGATCCAGCCATGATTTTGTGCGTTTTTTGTTCATTTTCATTGCTTTATAGTGTTCCATTATTTCGAGTATGCCACAAATTGTCTAACTAAATATTATTTGTATGGCTTTCTGTTTTTGGTTCGTACAAATAATGCTGCTGTGAACATCTTGTATCTGTCTAGGGATGTACATTTCTGTAGGGCAGTGATTCTCAAGGTGCCTTTCCCCCACCAGCAGCTCTGACATCTCCTGGGAACTTGTTAGAAATGCAAATTATTGGACCTGTTGAATTAAAAACTGTAGGGGTGGGGCCAGCAATTTGCATTTTAACAATCCTTGAGCATTTTTACCACGCATGTTGATGTTTGAGATGTTTGAGAAGTACTGCTGTGGAGATGTACCTAGGGGAGGAACTGAGGGGGCATAGGGAAGATGAGATTAATGGCAAACTGTCCTCCTAGTAGTGGTACCAATTTACATTTTTACCAGGGATATAGGAGAGGTCCAAACAGCACTGCATCATCCAAGTTGTCAGACTTTTTAATGGTAATTCTTCTCCACCACCCCCTTTTTGGGATTTTAATTATCTTTATCTATAAAATTAAAACATCGGTCTCTGGACAGTGACATCTAAAAGTCTGGACATGACTGGTCTAAATTAGTTCAGAAATTATGTCACTGTTTTTGCTTTTATTGCCAGTGCCTAGTATAGTGATAAGCACATAGAAAAGTGTGTATTTATCAAATTGAATTTTTGAATATTTCTTTGTTGTTAAGCAGTTTCTCCATCTTTTTTTAAAAAACAGTTTAATAGAGACCTAAAGTTTACTAAATAGATGAGTAATGCATCACCATATACTTTTTTTTTTTAGCTTTTATCACTTCTTTTTGAAGATTTATTCAAAAAATTTAATTCTGAAATGAAGAAGATTGCAGACCAGGTGATTCCTAAGCAACGAGCAGCTCAGTTTGATGTTGTGAAGCACATGCGTCAGGACCAGATTACCAACGGCATGGTGAATGCCATTTCTACAGTAAGTCTTCAGTCATATGTTTAGGGTTTCCTGACTTAGTTATACATCTATTCCATGAAATGGAAGTTCAAAGCACTTTGGGAATCTAGGTTAAAAAATACATTTATATTTAAAGGATGTTAACAAATCACAGATTTTCTACTTTGAAATACAGTGTACAGTTTAAATGTTAATCATTAGGAATTTTGATACTGTGTAGCTTTATTGCCAATTATAGTCCCTGTTCTAACAGGCAGTAAAAAAAAACCGGTAACTCTTACATAGAGGGAAAATCTTTTAGTTTAACTGGTAATAGACATTCTTTTAATGGATACTTCTTCCCATTTTTTTTTTCTGTAATAAAACTGACATAATGGGAGTAGGTTTATTAATGATAGCTTTTGTTCACAACAATACAAAATGTTTCATTTCATTGTAAGTTTATATTCCTAAAAGGGCTATCAGCTGTGCCTCACATGAGTGATGAATTCAGGCCTGGGCAGCTGCTATGTACGCAGGGCTCCTGGCTCTTCATAAAGGCTTATCAGATAGGTTTTTGCTCCCTTTCTTAAAGCATCATGACTATAGGTCTATCTGATGAAATCTAGTTGTGCTTTGTATGCCAGACATAAAACTGGTTTTATGGATGGGATTTCACCCCAACAGAAGAATAGTTTGGTATAACACGTTTATTCCCTTAACAATGAAAAGAATTAGTGGCAGACTTGCTGCAGTGCTCATCTTTAGAAACTAGCCCGTGAGTCTGTGTGAACAGCTCCTGCAAGGGACAGCTACCTCAAACTGGAGGTGAACTGGGCCTTGGTGCCCGTGTAGGCTTGTTATATTCTTGTGGCCCAAACGTGTCAGAAACAAGATCCCTAGATGTTTGAAGAAAAGCCTCCAAAGAGCACTTGAACACACTTTTTCTTGCTTTCTGACCCATGAGTTTCAGGTTATGATAGCTTTTTAAAGTAGTTATTTTGCCCCTTAGTACTCTGCTTTACCGCCTGAAGAAAACTGCTTGTTGAAAAAGTTTGTAGTAGACCTTGTTGCAGGTATACCCCAGTGTGTAGGCAGCTGGAAGAGGATCAACTTCTAAAATTCTCTGTTACCATTAGGAGCATATTTTCAACACATAAGTTTTCTCAGAAGAGCATTTTTAGACTCCTTGTCTGTTTCTCTTCTCCCTTTCATTAGACTTGCACGGAATACTAGAACAAATCCTCTTGTTGGACATCTTGGCTTTACTCCCCATCTACTTCCTATTTGCCGGCAGCTGTGGCCTTCCTTTAGCTCTGTGTGGAATATTTATTTACTGTCCTTATGCCTACTTGCGGGACATCAGTTGGTTTACTGAGCTTACGCCCGTTCAGAGCAGAAAAGGAGTTAACTGAAAAAGCAACATGTGTTTAACCGGTGGAATAAATATGTTTGCTCCGTTTCTTCGCTTTGTAATGGATAGTTTCTTCCTAGAATTTAACTCTTTTCCACATTATCGAAAAACTCAAGTTTCTGCAATGATAGCTCTTCCATAATAATGATTAAACTTTAGTGACCCTGGGAATGCCCCCAGGGTTACAAATTTTAATTCAAGCAGATTACCTATCTCCTCCTGAAACTCTAGCAGTTTTTCTCCTGTTAGGGTTTTTAACCTAAGATCCATGGGTCTTCCCTGGAAGTGGAATGTGAAATTTTGGTTCATGGGCCTACCTGCATTTTCCCCAAGAGAACAGACATCTCTTTCATCAGATTCTCAAAAGAAAAATGAAGAGCCACCATTTAGCAGATGTTATTTTTTTCTTTTGAATCAGAAAGATTGAATCAGTAATTTCTCTGACATTTTTAACTTCACTTTTCTAGCCATACTGTTTTTTCCTGTCCCATTGCCATGAATTGAAAATTTAACCATTCCTAACCTTCATCTTTAAATTACCTTTCAGAATAGTTAATGTGTATATTGGATACAACTATAAAGTAATATATTTAATATAACATGATATATTCAGTATGTACAAGAGAAACTAAATTTAATGTTCAAGATTTATTTCCTATGAATCTATTTTAAGATCAACATGATAGTCACAGAGAATATATACTATTTCTTCACGTGAATATATATATGCAATTTTTAGCCTTGATTAGGAAGCCAACAGTTTATTCATTATCCCTAATAACTGCTATTGGAGTCATTTTTCTGGTATTTTCTATTCATGTATTTTCCTCTAAGACAGATTTTGGAAGACATCCAAATAATGACATATCCCAACATGAAATTACTCTTTGAGCTACAAGCTACTTTTACTTTTACTTTTACCTCGTGTTCTATTAATGAGCTTATTGCTTCCAGTGGAAATCTCTGGTTGAACTGGTTTGTTCAGGATATTACCAGTTCTTCAGAAAGTAAATGTTGCAGTGTGATAAGGTTGATATATCAGAGCGTTCTGACCTGGTTGCTAGACACAGGTGATATTCATTAAACCCCTAGAAAGCACCAGTGAATGACCTGACTCAATTTTCATTTTAATTGTGGTATTTTGATTTCTGAATATACATTATGGCTCTAATTTCACAAATACATAGTTCCTGTGATGAGCTTCTCAGAGTAACTGCAAAGTACCAGGCAACATACGAACAGATCAGAAGTGGTCTTATGTGTTTTTTTTCTCCTCTATAGGGAAATTGGTCTCTCAAGAGATTTAAAATGGACCGCCAGGGTGTGACTCAAGTCTTGTCTCGCTTGTCATATATATCTGCCCTGGGCATGATGACAAGAATCTCCTCTCAGTTTGAAAAAACAAGAAAAGTGAGTGGTCCTCGTTCCCTCCAGCCATCTCAGTGGGGAATGCTCTGTCCTTCGGACACTCCTGAAGGAGAGGTAAGATACCCGAGGAGTCTCTGCTATGTCATAGGTAGTACCTGTTGGTGATGTTCTGCTTCTACCTCCATTTCTCTGGGGCGTATCCTTTTTTGGGTCAGCCACTTATCTGGCAGAGAAATAATTGATGCAGCCTGTTAGGACAACATCAGTGTCCATTTGAAAACCAGTACTGACAGGCATTCAATTTAGTATCTCACCTGATAGAAATACAGTGCCAGTTTTCTTACTTACTTTGGCTTATCACAAGAATCAAACCATGTGGTGAAGACAGGATAAGAATGTGAGGGAAAATTAAGATACCCTCATCTTTGTTTGCAAGGATCTTTTTTAAAGCAACTCCTTATTTTCCTTAGGTGTACTTAGAGGGCATCAGACTTGCAGCCAACAGGGAGCACAGAACCAAGCAGCTTAAGTGGGTTTGCTTCTTACACACCACCATTTCTGCATCATGGCCCTTTCTCCCTCATGCTGACCGTTGTTGGTTTCACCGAATTCTGTTCGTTGTAAACTTCTGGAAGAAGGAACTTTGTTAGGTTCACATTCTATCGCAAGCTCCTGGCGCAGAGCCTCATTCATAGTAGATACCCCATAGATATCTGCTAAATGAATCAATACGTTAGTTACGATGTATAAAACATGTAAGTTCCAAAGTGTAGGAATTTGTTATGACTGGGGGAGGTGAAAATAGAAGTCCATATGAGTTAATATTTTTAGAAAATTATCATTCCTATCTTAATTTATCTTAAACCATATGGAAATTCACACTAGAATTTATGCAGCTTGTCACAGTTGCATAATTTATAACCCTTGGGCTTTGGAACACTGAATTTTCCAGAGTTTGTTTCAGCTAACCTCAGTAAAGTACCTATGTTGTGCATATAATTTCAAAGAATCAAAGATACAGTCTTTACACATCAGATCTCAAGTGTTTTGTTTTCTACTTCTTGTGTTACGTCCTTGTTCATATTTTGCCTTAAATTTTTTCTTGGTTGTATAAAAATATAAAGATATTTTATTTCTTTTTCATTTTGAAGTAATTTCAATTGTACACAAAAGTTGCAAAACTAGTACAAAGAATTTCCATAGTGCTTAACCTAGATTGCCCAAATATGAACATCTTACATGACCGTTGCTCAGTTATCAACCTTGTGAAATTCAATTGATAACAGGATTATAATCTGTAGATTATAGAATCTTACCTTATTCAAATGTTGCCAGTTATCCCACCAATATCTTTTTTCTGACCCGGGATTACACATTGCTTCCAGTTGCCACATCTCCTTAGTCTCGTAATCCGGAGCGATTCTTCAGTCTTTCCTTTGCCTTCTATGACCAACAACCTTTATAGAGTACTGAGCATTGACTTTGTTGACTCTCTTATTTCCGGCCAGTTGTAGATTTTTAGGTGCCCACATCTATTACTATTTTGTTTTACTGTTTCTATACAGTGTCATCTTAATGACTGTGGTGTTTCATTGTCTGGGCATAGCAGTTCACGTAATCAGTTTCTTTTTTTTTTTTTTTTAAGATTTTATTTATTTATTCATGAGAGATACAGAAGAGAGGCAGAGACATAGGCAGAGGGAGGGAGAAGCAGGCTCCATGCAGGAGCCCAATGCAGGACTTGATCCCGGAACTCCAGGATCACATCCTGAGCTGAAGGCAGATGCTCAATTGCTGAGCCACCCAGATGTCCCTGTTTCTTTTTTTAAGGCAGCATTCATGATGCCATCCTTATTTGCCATTTCACGTAGTACTTTACTGAGCATTTCTGTGTCTAAATCTATGTATCCTTGCTTATTACCTTAGGATAAATTCCTCTGTGTATATGTTTAAGTATTTTGTTTGAATCTCCAGACTGTCCCCCACAAGACTATACTGCTTTGCATTGCCACCAGCAAAGCAGTGAGCTATTTTCAGACACAAACTGTACCTTGTATTACTAATGGCCATTCTTAGAAATGACTTTTGTTTTTTAGGCATGTGGTTTGGTTAAAAACTTGGCCCTTATGACGCACATCACAACTGACATGGAAGATGGACCCATTGTTAAATTAGCCAGTAACCTGGGGGTAGAAGATGTGAATTTATTATGTGGGGAAGAACTCTCTTATCCAAATGTGTTTCTCGTCTTCCTCAATGGTGAGTGTATCAAGGAGACCTGTTGAGCCTGATCAGTCTTGGGGAGGTGGAAGGAAGCCATATCATCCAGGTGTTTAAGGACAAATAAATCTCAATTCTGGGTCCAGGGGGCCTTAATTTAAAGGTAGAAAAATGGTGATAGAAACTGTTATCCCACTGGCTGGGTCCTTAGGGTCTTAGAGGTCCTGCTGTCAGAGCCCAAGGTAGCATTGCAGAAGCTGGCTGCCTTCTGCCCTTTGACAGCTGCCAGCTGATCTACAGCGGATAAAGTTCAACGCAGTATCTTTAAGTTCAAGCTAAATATTTGAGATGTACTGCAAAAACTGACCAGTCCTGACAGCAAGTTGACTTATATTCAGCCACTTGATGATGGACTGTCAGCAGCCTGTGGCAAGAGGTCCCTCTCTTCAGTTCATGATTCAGTTGCTCCTTTCATCCCCTTCAGAGTCCTCCAGAGCCTTGGCAGCAAGTGTGTGCTCATCCTGACCGCCTGGATCCCATGCTCTTCTCCCCTTTCCCCTCATTCCAGGGGCATTATTCCCTCCCCGCGTGGGCTGGTGAGAAGCAAAACAGGCCTGCTCCCTGGCCACCTCATTCAGGAAATCCCAGTGGCTAGCACGGAAAGAGCTCTTAGTCTGCATTGTCATCCAGGGCCCCTCTGAGTCCTCACATGGACCCTGGGGCACAAAGTCCACCTTCCTCATTTCGCAGTCCACCTTCCTCATTTCGCAGATGACAATGGCAGGAAGAGCAGTTGAAGAAGAATAGCGGTACTCAGTGCTGGGCAGAGCAGCTCTAAGTGTTTGATGGAAGATCAACTCATTTTGTCCTCACATCAACCCTTTGGAAGTGTTAGAACCAGTGTTTGAACCCAGGCGGTCTGGACCCCGCATTCATAGCCCCAGCGTGGTGCTGACCAGTGAGGAAAATGAGGCTCACTTTTGCGACTTGGACTTGCATGTGGTAGGGCTGCCCCTCAACTCACGTCCTTGGCCACCCTCAGCTGCTCCACTGTGTTGCCTTCCTGCAGCCTGTGGACTGGCTGCCCTGTGTGAAGAATAGAATTTTCAAATGAACTGCTCACTGCTGCTTTTCATCTTTATTGGGTGGATATTTCCAATTGAATAGATCTGGTTTTTTGTTCCTCTAGCAAATATTCTTTCTGCTTAGGTAACATCCTGGGAGTGATTCGAGACCACAAGAAGCTAGTGAATACATTTCGACTGATGCGAAGAGCAGGATATATCAATGAATTTGTTTCCATCTCAACAAATCTCACAGATCGATGTGTCTATATTTCCTCTGATGGAGGAAGGCTGTGCAGGTATAAGTTGCTAAAAAAGAGTTTTTATGTGTACTTCTGAAAGAAATGTGCTTGTTTTTGTTTTTGGATCCACTTTCACCTTTTTCATTGTTGAGAGGACTTCAGTTAGCAGATCCCTCATGAATATGCATGTGGGTGCTGAGGACCCAAAGATTAATGGGGGTCAGTCTCTGCCCTCAAAGAGCTCAGTCCATAGTCAAAGCAGCAGTAATTACTAATAACCACCAAGCTAGGAATAATGCTTACCTGCCATTACTGATGATTTCAGTAGACGTGCCACATGTAAGGCTTTTACTACATTCAGCTGTGTACGGGTGGATTACTATTTTCATTTAACAAACAAGGAACAAGATATAAGTAACTTACCCAAAGCTAGATTGTGACAGGTCTGTTCTTTACTTGATAGTCCTTATAGTTCATTTGACTCCAACAGTCATGATTTTACCCACTGTATTCTCCTGCTGTGTGAGCTGAACTTTAAAGGATGAGTGAGATGGTGTTACCCTGGACGAAGGAGGAAAGGAGAAAGGCTGGGGAATGTCAGGAACAAAAATATGGAGGCATGAGCACATTGCATTAAACCCTGTGGAAAGCAGGTGCCTTCTAGTCACTCAGCACATCTGAAGGGCTTGTAATGCTCAGGTCCTGGCCAAGAGGTGGGGGCAGAGATGAATAGGACAGGGTGTCTGGTCTTTGGGGAACATTCAGGGACATCCGTGAGGATCTTACCTTGTCTCGTAAGCTTCTGTGTGTTTTACTGTGGTCATTCCTTGTGGACCTCAGGTAGGGCTAGGGCCCAAGTTAGTGAGCTGACAATGGCTGGGGTGGTGGAAAGAGCTTGGGCTTCGACGTCCGTTAGAGCGGAGAATAGACTGCCCTTGTCTGTCGAGTAGCCAACTTCTCCTTCTAGTTCCCCTCCTCACTTTCCTTTAGGACCTACTCCTCCCCACTGGCAGTCTTCTCGGGACAGTCAGGTGCCCTCTCCTGCTCAACCAGAGGTCAGACATGTTATCCAAGCTAGGCCAGTCACACTCTCCTCAGAGAATTCGAATCCCAAATAGAATAACTCAAGGAATAAGTGGTTGGAACTGATTTATCCTGACAGCAGCACATGTTGAGAGACTGCATGTTATTCCTCCCGTTCTGGAGCATTGGGATCCTTTCCTTTGTGAGGCTGGGCATTTTACCTTTTTGATGTTTTGTTTTGTTTTGTTTTTATTGATTTTTTTGTTTTTGGATTCCTATCCTTGTAAATTCTTATACTTTCGGTAAATTCCTTTAAATTTTTTTTAATTTTTATTAGTAAATTCCATTTTTGCTTACATTAGCCAGAATTGGTTTCTGTTCTTTGCAACCAAAGAACCCTAGGTGATGACATACCTGTTTGAGTCCTGACTTCTCACTTACTGACTTGGCGTGGCTTTGACTGTATTACTTTCCTTGGCTGAAAAAAATGTAAATAATAATAATACCCCCTAGGACTGTCCTGAGAACTAAGTGGTAGACAGTGTGGTCAGGGCCTTGTAGATGCCAGGCATGTAGCAGGTGCTTACCTATACCACTTAACATAATCAGTTCGGTTCGATGGGGAAAAAAGTAATGTGTTCTTAGTTCTTAGGTTACTACTCTTTCTTGGGGTTTTTCTCTTTAATTACATCCAGTATATGATGGGATAGTCTAAAAAACAAATTCTTTTTTAGAAGTCAGTTTATACCGGCCTGGCATAGATCTGGACGTACAGGTAGTTTATGGAGTAAGTAGAACATGAGTGAGGTAGCTGTGACCTGTGCCATCTCCTGCTCCCACGTCCGTCCCTGTCCTCACTTTTGAATCTCTGTAGCCTCTGCTCCCTGTAGCCCTTGAATGAGGTAGCAGTGCTCTCTGCCTCCCTCTCAAGAAAAAGCCAAGTTTTCGAGGTAATGTTGATTTCCATGAAAAGTTCACTCAGTTCATTTTTCAGAAACTTGTGTTCCCTTTTTGTAATTGTGCAGCTCTTCTTAACCGTTCAAAAGTGCTCATTAGTCCTCAAATAGTTATTTGGACTTTAGGGTAGAGCGCACAAGTGTCTGCTGGTTGCTCTCTCCTCTCTGTAAGAGCCGCTTATCCAAATAGCAACAGCCCTTGATGTCTTGGGGCCGCATGCCATCCTTTGTGTCCGTATTTCCTTGTGGTGGCGAGGCCCTCAGCAGCAGATCACCACTGACAGTTACAGGTTAATCTACCAGAATGGGGAGACCGAAAGCTCTCTCTACCTTAACACCCGTTATCTCGCTAAAAATCACAATGTAAAAAAGCTTTATTCTCTGTGAACATTTAGCCTTAGGTAACCTGCCAGTGTAGCCCTGTGATGTCTGTCCAAAAAGAAGCTGACGTTCACCAGACTTTCACTACAGGGCACATTGTTATTCTCAATGACAATTCTCTGCCTGCGTCTTGGGGAGCAGGCCCATATTTCCTCTGTGAAATCCTATGAAATGCCTTTGGTATGATGCGTTTATACTCTTTTAAAAAAATAAAGCATGAAGGATTTTGTTTCCTTTCTAGGTCTTATTATTTTTGTGTTGCCTTTCCATTTAAAACAAGATATTTCCTAAGATAGTTGGAGGAAGTCCTGTTTGTGCATACATGTGCACACATACAAACATTGCTGGCGTGTGTGCCTGTGCCTGTATATGGGAGAGAGAGTAAAGAGGCCCCAATGTATTCGCACATGGAGAGAATACCTGGTGTCCTCAAGGCAGTCTAGGAATCAGTTTGATTATATCCCAGCTTCCCTCATTTCACTATAGTGAACTTACTTGCTGACTTAATTCTTTTGAACTACTATGAATTTGTTTTTTTGTTTTTGTTTTTGTTTTTGTTTTCATTTCAGACCCTACATTATCGTTAAGAAACAGAAGCCTGCAGTCACAAATAAGCATATGGAAGAGCTGGCTCAGGGATACAGGTAAATGACCAAAAGCAAAACTTCTCAAACTCTGTAATATTTATTCATATAATTTAATCAGCAACAACATTATTTGATCTGAGCTTTTAAGAAAAACGTATTTTCATTTTTAGTCTCTTAATTCCTCCCTACCAAATGTATCAGCCAGTTAACCCATTCCTCTCTGTGTGAACTTGCGTAGACTTTGTAAAATATTTACCAGTTTGTATCATGAGGATCACAGAGTGTTGGTGTAAATTAGCACACTATGAAGTAACAGGGATATATCAATGTCAGTGCTGGGTCTCTCATCATAGGGGCTCTTAAAAGTCATAGAAGATATTTTCAGAAGTGGGAACCAGATTAGGGCACATTGGTGGCTCAGTCAGTTAAGCATCCAACTCTTGATTTTGGCTCAGGTCTTGATCTCAAGGTCGTGAGATCCACCCCCGTGTCAGGCTCTGTGCTGGGTGTGGGAGCCTGGTTAAGATTCTCTCTCTCCCTCTGCTGCTCCCCTCGTGCAGTACACCTCACTTTCTCTCTGTCCCTGTCTCTCTCTCTCAAACAAAAACAGGGAGAGGAGTGAGGGACCAGATTGACAAATACCATGTATGTTTTTGTTTCAATGATTTGCCTTCATTCTGTGATCCATGAATAACATCTTTCAAGCATCCCAATGTATGGTACTTTCTGGGAGAGAAAGGTGCTTTGTATATAAATGAAAGCTGGTATCCTCCATTATCACACATAAAGCATTGCAGTAAAATTTATTAATTATGTACATTTCACCAATATTTTCCCAGGAATTTTGAAGACTTCTTACATGAGAGTCTGGTTGAATATTTAGATGTGAATGAAGAAAATGACTGTAACATCGCACTCTATGAACATACAATTAATAAGTAAGTAATAATAACAACCATAATTAACACCTGTTCTGATTATAGAAATCACCATTTCATTTCATCTCTTCTCTTGTGTTCCCTATTAGTAGGATCTGTTAAAAGTGTACTATCCTTTTATAAAGTATAACCTATCATTTATCTCAATGTAGGATTATCACAAAACTGCTAACAATCTTCAGACTTAATTATCTTTTCTTTTTTTTATTTATTTAGTTATTTATGATAGTCACAGAGAGAGAGAGAGAGAGAGAGAGAGAGAGAGAGAGAGAGAGGCAGAGACATAGGCCGAGGGAGAAGCAGGCTCCATGCACCGGGAGCCCGATATGGGATTCGATCCCGGGTCTCCAGGATCGCGCCCTGGGCCAAAGGCAGGCGCCAAACCGCTGCACCACCCAGGGATCCCTAATTATCTTTTCTATTCATTTTACACTTAGTGTATATGTTTTGAAAGGAAGTGCTTCTCTGATTCTGAAATTTGATAACTGTCAAAATTGAAATAATGGATCACACTATGGAAAGATGAATTTCTCTCTTCTAGAGAAGACATCTGATTTCTTGTTTATACAGGAATTCCATATGTTTTGTGTTATAAGGATGTCTCTAAACTTATATACAGTATAAACAAGAAATAGTAATATGTTCATGATATTTCAAGAATAGTAATATTTTTAGAAGCATCTGTTCTACTTGGAATACATTAGAAAACATTTATATAGCTTTCTGTTTGCTGTGTGTAACTAGTGGTACTACTTACCTGAAACTGGAGTTTTTGTACTTTTATTGTTAAATAATTAGGGAGTTTGATACACCATTTAATAACTATTTTAGGTCTTCAGTCAAGAAAGTACTTTTCTGTTTTCCTGCTACCAAATGAAAAATGTACTACTTCATTAGTTTCTTATAATTTAGTAAACATTGATTTTCAGTCAAAATCTTTATTCCTTAAAGGTATGACTCTAACAAAGTACTATACTCCTCATTTGAAGATTGAGTGAAATATAGGGATCCCTGGGTGGCGCAGTGGTTTGGCGCCTGCCTCTGGCCCAGGGCGCGATCCTGGAGACCCGGGATCGAATCCCATGTCAGGCTCCTGGTGCATGGAGCCTGCTTCTCCTTCTGCCTATGTCTCTGCCTCTCTTTCTCTCTCTCTGTGTGTGACTATCATAAATAAATAAAAATTTAAAAAAAAAAAGATTGAGTAAAATACAAAGGAGTATGTTGGTAGTATGTAGTAACCTTGTGTAGTGTAGTGTGTAGTAACCCGGTGAATAGGAATCCGTCCTTCTTGTTTCTCAGCCAGAAACCTCAGTTTCAGCCTTGACTCCTCTATGCCCACATCCAGGCCATTAGCTTATCATGTCGACCTTCAGCGCTCTCATCTCTTTCCACCCCTCCACCTACCACCCTCATCTAGGCTGCTGCCATTGCTTGCATGGGGACTTGCAAGAGGCTCCTGACTCTATTGCACTTGTTCTCATATAGTCTATTCTTCATCGGTGAAAGTGCTTTTTTCCCTTCTCTTCTCAAACCCCAGTGGGTTTCCCTCTCCTTGGAAATCCTTACAGATCTGCCTACCCTTCCTGGTACCTGCAGCACTGTCTCCTACCTCTCCTCTTTAACTGCTTCCTCACACCTCAAGCATGTTTCTGCCTTAGCATCTTTGCACTGGCTGTCCCCTCCCTGGGATGCTCACATCCTTCATGACTCACTCCTTCACCTCCTGGTCTTCCTCAGAGGTCACCTTCTCAGTGCTATTTCCTGATGACCCCAGTTAGATAGATACCCCTCCTCTGTGTACCCTCTTCTCTGCTGTATTTTTCTTTTTCTTTTTTTTAATATTTTTATTTATTTATTAGAGACAGAGAGAGGCAGAGACACAGGCTGAGGCAGAAGCAGGCTCCATGCAGGGAGCCCGACGTGGGACTTGATCCTGGGTCTCCAGGATCAGGCGCTGGGCTGAAGGCGGCGCTAAACCGCTGGGCCACCCAGGCTGCCCTCTGCTGTATTTTTCTAATGCTTATTACCTAATAATAAGATCTATAAAATGTGTATTTTATTGACTTATCTGTGGTTATTTGTCTCTCCACTAGAAGCTTCACAAAAGCAGGTTTTTCTTATTCACTGTTATAAAGGAATGCAGCCTTTAGTATCAGCACCAATCATCCAAACACATTTTGTTTCAAAAATAGAAAAAATGTGGTATTCTGTAATTCATCCTTGTGACCTTTTTTTTCAATGTGGACATGCATGAAGTAAAAAGATTGAACCCCCTTCTTCCCCATCCTACTGAACTCCAGCCTCCATACATCACCAGTGCCAGTGGTTTAATGTATACTCTTCAGTTTTTTCTTAAGTGAATGAATACAAACATATATACATGACCTCAAGGCAATGTATTTCTATTATCTTCATTTTTAAAGTTAGCATCATTATCAACTTTATCATTCTAGATATTTTTCTATATTAATGTCTACTTGTATGTTTATATAAATATATTACTTTAATTTCTTTATATTACATTGTCTGACTACACATAGTTTATTTAACCTATTAATGAATATTGAGACGCTTTCCAGTTTTTCTGCTGTTGCAAACAACAGGTTACTGAGTCTTCATTTGAGCCAAGTTTAAGGCCCTTATACACATTGTCTAGAAAGTCTTCTATTTCCTGTTCAGGACAGAAGATTATGGTGGTTATCTTTTTTAATAGTAGTATCCTCTTTTGTTTGACAAAAGTCAAAATCCAGAGCATTTAGACTTTGAATAATTATTAGGTAATGTATGATCTCATTTTATATATATTGTGTTACCAAAAAAAAGAAGAAACTTAGGTCTGTATCTTGTTCATTTTCAGCTTGCTTGAATCTGTACATCTGAAAAAGTAGTTTTTATTTATATGGGGCAATTGGCCCATATTGTCAAATTGGCCAATATTTAAACAAAATGATACATTTAAAGCAAACTCTGTTTTACTCTAGGCCATAAAATGTCACTATAAGCTGTTTCTCTTTAAACACACACACACACACACACACACACACACACACACACAAAGAAAACAAATCCTAGCCCTTTCCCTCTCTGCTGACAAAGGCCTAACATGTCTGAGAGAGTTGGAGTTCTGCTAGATCATAGGGTCAAAACTATCTTCTTCAAATAAACAGCTGCATGGAAATCCTCTGTAACTAAACTAGGGACATAATTCATACAGGTATTGAAGAAAAAAAAAAACTCAATGGATAAGTGGGAGGTCATTTGCCATGTGCGCTGCAACTAATTTTCCACAAAGGGTTGGATTATCTTAGAAATCCCTTGTCCTCCCAGGTACTATAAACCATTGAAATTACTGAAGATATGCCTCACGAGTACTTGAAGAAGGAATGTAGGGGGTCAGCAGACTGCATAGACACTGCATGTGATGTCTGTTACTTCCAGCAAGATCCAGAAAAATGGCTGCCCTTCCCCTTTGAAATACCTGAATTACTATATCAGTTAGCCAAAACTGGGATTTTTACAATAATATGTTACAAAAGCCTCCACAATTTTAACACCTACTAGATAAAGTCTTACTTTATATCCAGTTCCTACAGCTGAGTTGTCCAAAAAAATACCATGCAAGCCCATACACTGAAGTTTTCCAATAGCCACACTGAAAAAAGCAAAAAGAACCAAATGAAATTAATCTTAATAATTTTATTTAACTCACTCTATCTAAAATATTGTTATGTCAACATACAATCAGTATAAAAACATTGAGGTTTTTTTTTTTCCTATAAAGCTTCAAAATCTGCTGTGCACTTAGAGCACATCTCAATTTGAAGGCTAAATGTTTATTGGAAATACCTTATCTGATCATAACATTTACAGTTGAAAAAGTAGATTCACAAGTGTAAGTTGTTACAAACATAACTCAAAGGCTTTTGAATAACTGAACTGAGTTATTTCAATTTGAGTTTTAAAATGTAAAGTGATTAAAATTAAGTAAAATAAAAAATTCAGTGAAAAGTGCTGAACAGCCACACTTAGCTGGTGGCTGTGGTCTTGGTCCCCTTAGGTACTATGGTAACTTTCTGAAATGGGATATATTCTTCCCTAAGATGGTAATACAACTTTGCCATTGACACAAGTTGGAGAAGTGAAGAAAAGCAGCCCACTCATCCATGTGGATATCAGTTTTACTAGCATCAGATTTTATTGTTCTTGAGGTTTTATATAAATTACTTATATATTTTTTATATATAAATTTTCATAAACATTTATATAAACTTACACATTTTGTTGGGGCCCTTTGGGGACCTTGCTGATAATATTTTTATGACCTTTAAGAGAGATTTATTTTGGTCCTTGGTTTCTAAAATGTCTGATTCTTAATTAACTTGACAGGGATACCACCCACTTGGAGATTGAGCCCTTTACTCTCCTTGGTGTTTGTGCTGGCCTCATCCCATACCCTCATCACAACCAGTCCCCAAGAAACACATATCAGTGTGCCATGGGGAAGCAAGCCATGGGTAAGATTTCCTTCTTGAACTTGGTTCTAAGTACTTGAATAAAAGATTTAAGTCTTTATTTTTACTTTACTAGTATTAAATGTTTGGCTAAGTCAGGCATTGCTAATACCCAAGTGTCACTAACCTCAGAGGGCTTGCAGATGCCCCTGCCATATCTAAAGCATCAAAAAAAAAAAAAAAAAAAAAAAAGGAAAAAACCTCTCTGAACTTATTCCTTTGACCAAACAAGGGGATGTATAATAAATGTCACAGAATGATGAGGGGGTAGATATAAAGAGAAAAGCTCTATAAAGCTCTATGAAGTATAAGTTGTGAACCAGGAGAAATGGAAGCAAGAGCAGGAAAACACAAGTTTTGAGGGAAGAAAGGGAAAGGGAATAGAGCCGAAGATGCACAGTGTGTATTAGAAGGCATTACATCCTTGCAGTTCTCCTGTAGCTTCTGAAACATCCAGTTCATGTCACACCAAATTCTGAATTCATTTTCCTTCCTTCCTTCCTTCCTTCCTTCCTTCCTTCCTTCCTTCCTTCCTTCCCTTTTAATTGATTATCCATTGCTAACACTTACTGAGCATCATGGATAGACCAGATGGTGAGGCTAGAACCTGAAAATGGAAGGGAGAGAGAGCCCTGTCCCCAAGGAGTTCACAGTCTAGTAGGAGAGCCCAACAAGTACTACTGTAGTTGAATATATATGATAAATGCTGTAGTAGACCAGCAGCTAAACTCTTGAGGAATGAGAACAGAAAGATCACTTGAAGTTAGAGAGTAGGTTGTTTCTGAAGAATAGAACTAAACAGCCTTGAAAGACCTTGAGTATTTTTTATAGGCATGGAAATAGAAGCAAGCATTGCATGGGGATCTTGGTGCTTTGGTATGGCTTTAGTAAACATAATAGGAATATAGTCTGTACAAGAGAGGTACCACAGAATAAGGAGTTTGGGTTTTATCTTGAAGGTGATACAGAGAGGCTACAAGGCCAAAAAAACAAAAGTTTTTTTTTTTAATAAATTAATTTTTATTGGTGTTCAATTTACCAACATACAGAATAACACCCAGTGCTCATCCCGTCAAGTGTCCCCCACAGTGCACGTCACCCATTCACCCCCACCCCCCGCCCTCCTCCCCTTCCACCACCCCTAGAAGTCCTAACGACGAGGGTTATTGAAAAACAAAAGTTTTGCTTATAAACTTCTTTGGAAGTGTTTTTAAAAATAAGCTTAATACATTTATTTTCATATATGTCTATGATGTCAATATGATTTGTCAATTCTGGTTTAAGTATGCTACAGGGGGCTTCATGAAGAAACTAAAAGGTTTTTGCATTGCCTTTGGGTAACAACCAGAATGCATTTAGCTTCTCAGTTACCAGCAATCAGCTGCAATTGACTATGGCTTGACGGTTAAGGAATCCTCCATCTTATCCTGGAGTAAACAGTGTGTATTTCTTTTCTGAGTTTTTATACTGTCCTTTTGGTTGTCAAAACATGTTGTCCTGCAACCATTTACCTGAATGATGTAATGCTTCAACAGTTTGGAATAATTCCCAGTGGGAAAATCTAAACAGCGGCTCATCAATTTCGTCTTTTCCATTCATCCTCAGCAGCAGCGTAGTGATTTCCCGCGTGTGCTTGTGACTTGCTAACAAGTTGAAATATACAGTACTGAACCCTGTGTGTCATGAAAGGGCTATCACTTCTATTGGGTTTACCAAACCATTTTGTTTCATGATGTGAATCCTGGCTGAAACAATACACCTTTTGTGCAGAACCTTCAGAATTAACGGAAGACTAATCACTTCATCACTAATGCCACTCCTTGGTTGTGTTTGAAGATTAAAACAGAAAGGGCTACGAATTTATCTCCACTTGGTGAATCTTTTTTTTTTTTTTTTAGGTTTTTTTTTTTTTTTTTTTTAATAAAGAAGTGACCTGAAGGAAAGAAATAATATTTTTATTTTTGTAACTCCTCACCCTACAAAAAAAAAAGCCTTTATTTTGTGGCCATGAGTATCTGAAACGTTTGGTTAGTTACCACACACAGTTAAGCAGGATCAGTGTGTACAGAAAGCCAATTCAGTGTCTGTAGAGTTCTTTTGTAGTTTTCTGTGTGAAGGTTTTTTTTCTCGTTTTGTTTTGAGTGTCATTTGCAATTCATTGTCTGTGTTTTCTGAGGTTGGTGTATTCAGCTGCTCTGACCCTGGGTCCTGCACATTTAGCTCCTTGGATACAATCCTCTGACGTTACTGCTGACGCTAGGAAGACAAAAGCCACTGAATATCTTAAGTAATAAAAAAAAGGCTTTGTTACTGTTTGTTATTATAAAACACCTGACTGGAAAGAAAAGCATCAAGATAAAAGTACATTCAAAGTTGGCACATTACATGACCACGTTTCTCTTTGGACACTCAAATAGCTGCAGAAGTACTGAGCGAGGTCTGTATGAAAAAATCACAAAAGGAACAAGGCCGGCAGAGGGAGAAAACCCACAGCAGAAACCCAGGTCTGTAAAGCAGACCTGGCACTTTGAGTTGGACTTCTCTGAGTTATTTTAATTCCATGCAGTCTTGGCAGCTGATAACTAAAAGGCACGTTATCCCATTTTAAGTATGAGCCATTGCTAAAGACTATATACGTCTCAGAGATTCTGTGTGAATGTTCTGAAGTAATATTTTAACTGCTGTTCATCCATGAGTCCATGTGGAAAATGGAAGACAGTAGCCCAGAATTAAATCATTGCATATTCTAACCAACCTGGAAGATTTGCTACCTAATTTTCACTACTAACTGCCGCCTGCCCCCAGTGAACAGAGTGATGAAATGAGAGAAAGTCATTTTTCTATCACTATGAAGGAGACCAAGACGAGCACAAAGTGCAGACTAAAAGCCTTACCTTGTACGAGAGAGAATAAGTTCACTTTAGTAAACATGAAACACCAGCTGAGATGTTTCTTTTTCTTTTTCTTTTTTTTTTTTTTTAAGATTTTATTTATTCATGAGAGGCAGAGACACAGGCAGAGGGAGAAGCAGACTCCCTCCGGGGAGCCTCAGTCGAAGGCCAACACTCAACTGCTCAACCACTGAGCCACCCAGGCATCCAAGCAGAGGTGTTTCTTAAGTCTAGGGCTCTTTCACTTGTTGATAAAGTACAAGTTTCCACATTACATCTTACTGTGCTACTGTAAGATACCATATCCTTGGATATGGCTCTGTTGTGACAAGGTTCAGAACAAGAAGCCAGGTAGACATGTCTGGAAATGGCCAGGTCTCCAGGTCAGTCAGCACTACAAGTAAAAGTTGTTTGTTGGAGCTGCATTGTGTGTACCTTTTGGCACCAGATGCCATGTCCACATGAGTCACACTTTCATATCCTGTCCATTTTATTAGTTGGCAATCCTCTAGTGGAACACTTTTTCCTGGTTAAAAGGATCTTTCAGTCACTATCAGCTCAGTTAATGAATATGCATCACATACCTCCCCTAGCCATGGCCTCTTCCCAACCCCCCTTCACCTCCAAATTGCTGGGACTTTTTCCCCCCCCTTTTTTTTAAAGCTCAGGAGCTAATGCAGCTTCTGTTTTGTTTTGATTTGTTGCCATTAGATTCTGTTCCAAAGCAGATAGTTCCTTCTCTTGTATTCCCCACTTTACAGTAGGATGGGATGTCGGGAATAGCCCAGAAGGATTTGAGGTCTTAAAAACACATAATATATAAAGATCCTCATAAAATTTTCTTTCACTGTACATCTCCTTCCTCTGTATGTCATCCAAATTTCTGTTTGAATTTTTTTTAGAATATTTATTCTTTATCCATTTGGTGGATAGAAAATGGAAAGATGTCTTGGCCAAATTATTCCTGACAATTATATTTTAGAATCTCACTGTTGGTTCAAAAAGAAAATTAAAATCATTGTAGCTATTTCAGATGTAAGATGATATGACATTTCCTGAGATTGGGAAGTTAATAATAAATACTTGTGAAGATAAAACTAAAATGTAATTCAGTATGTAAGGTTAAAATTAGAGGCAGAGGGACCCCTGGGTGGCTCAGTGGTTGAGCATCTGCCTTCAGCTCAGGTCGTGATCCCGGGGTTCTGGGATCGAGTCCCCATCAGTTTCCCTGCAGGGAACCTGCTTCTCCTTCTGCCTGTGTCTCTGCTTCTCTGTGTCTCATGAATAAATGAATAAAATCTTTTCAAAAAGAAAAAAGGATTAGAGGCAGAACGAGTGATAGCACAGGGTCAAGGGGTGTGTGTTTATTACTACTACTGTTGTCAATAGTATCATTAGTGAATATTACCACATATTGACTACTCAAATGATCATAGTAACCCTGTCAGATACAACTTTGTTTCTGACAAGGAAAAGGAATCCCACTTTGGTTGAGTAACTTAAAAATATTACATTATGTCTTCTGTGCACAACATAATGTAACTATAAAACTTAAAGTAGCTGTCCATAAAACTTAAAAGATTCTTCTCGGTTGAAACTAACTTCTTTCCTCACTTTTTCCCCTTTACTGTGGATCATGACATACTAAGTGTCAGTGAGGATGTAGAGCAGCTAAAAAGTGGATGCTTTCCCTGCGAGACTGTAGAATAAAAGCACTTTGAGGACAGGACCACATCTTTGTTATTTATTACTATATCCTTGGTGCCTAGCATAGTGCCAGCTCAGTAGGCTTAATAAGTACTTAATAAAGTTTCAACAGCAAATTAATATCTGAGCACATTAAGGTTGTTAAGAAATCAGGTACATATTTTTGAGAAGAATCTTTGAAAAGAACTAAGTTGGAAAGCTTATATAACCTGATTTTAAGCTCTATTATAAAGCCAGTGTAACAAAGACAGTATGATGCTGACGTAAGGGTGGATGTATAGATCAGTGGAACAGAATCAAGAATCCAGAAACAGAACCACATTTCTATGGGCATTTGATTTTTAGTGAGTGTGTCAGGACAATTCTAGGGGAAAGGAAACTGTTTTCAACAAAATGTATATATGTGTATCTATATAGAAATAAATGAGCATCAACTCCTACCTCATACCATACAAGGAACTAACACAAAGTGGATCATAGCTCAGAATGTAAGAGCTAAACTCATAAAATGTGTAGCAAGAAACCGAGGCAAAAGTCTTCATGACCTTCCTTGATGACCTAGGTCATTTCTTAGAACTCAGAAATCACAGGTTATGACAAAGGAAAACAAAATAATTTAGACTTCCTCAGAGTTAAACTTTTGCCCTTTGAAAGACACTGTTAAGAATGTGAGAGACATTAATCCACAGAATGGGAACAAGTACTTGCAATACATACATCTGATAAAGGATTTTGTCGGGTACATATATAGAACTCTTCAATGATAAGGCTACTTGGTTAAAAGATGGCAAAAATGAAAACCAGACACTTCAGTAAGAGTAATAGGAATGACCAGTAAGCTCATGAAATTATGTTCCATGTTATTAGTCTTTAGATAAATGTAAATTTAAACCAAGACCTGCTCATTAGAATGACTAAAATTGAAACGGTGGACATACTCAGTGTCAGTGAGGATGTACAGCAGCTGAGGAGTACATACGCTGCTGGTACAAACATAAAAAGGTATAATACTGTGGAAAACACTTACACAGTGTTTTAGGTTAACTGTACCCTTCGGAAACCACCCAGAAATTCCACTCTGGTGTATTTTTCCAAGAGAAGTGAACACACACAGTCTTATGTGTGAATGTTCATAGCAGCTTTATTCACAAGAGCCCCAAACTGGAAACAATTCAGATATCCATCAGCAGGTGAATGGGTAAATAAACTGTATAAACATGTAGTGGAATAGTTCTCAGCAATAGCAATGAATCAAGTATGATAGAGCCACATGGATGGATCTCAGAATCATGATGCTAAATGAGAAAAGCAGCACAAGAGTGTCCATACTGCAGGATTCCATTCATATAAAATTCTAGAAAATGGGAATCCCTGGGTGGCTCAGCGGTTTAGCACCTGCCTTTGGTCCAGGGCGTGATCCTGGAGTCCCGGGATCGAGTCCCACATCGGGCTCCCGGCATGGAGCCTGCTTCTCCCTCTGCCTGTGTCTCTGCCTCTCTCTCTCTCTCTCTCTCTGTGTCTATCATGAATAAGTAAATAAAAAAAATCTTAAAAAAAAATTCTAGAAAATGTAAACCGTAATGATAAAACCCCGTGATTGCCTGGGGTCAGGAACAGAGGAAGGGATATTTTGGGAGTGTCAGAAATGTTCTAGATCTTGGTGGTGGTGGTGGTGGTTTTACAAAGGCATAAATCTGTCAGAACCCATTAATATGTATACTGTAAATGAGTAAAGTTTATGTATTTAATAATGTTACTAATTTTTTTAAAAAACTGGGCAAAGGAAGACAAGAAAAATAGTTAAATGGATAAAACTTCATCTTATTTTTTTCAGTATACATTTCCTAAGATATTCCTAAGCTGTATGTGTGCTTACTAACCTTTTCTCATACCACCTTAAAATAAAAAACTTCCTCACTATTTTAACCTACATTTAATGTACCTTGCTGTGCCAACCTGTGACTTAAGAAAGTTATGATCAAGAAAATATGATTTTTGTAAGAAAGATCATGTCCTGGGTAGTAAGGAAATGAGTGCTTAGTTATAACACTGAAGACTGCAATTACAGCAAAATGGAGCAGTAGAGGGAGAGCCCTGCTTACAGATATTCTCATTGTGTTAGTTATTATGTATGTGCAATGCACTTTTTAAGGAAGTTGAAAATAGTAAAAGGCATCCTACTTTAAGCATGTGCTTTAACCAGACTAGTCTTTTAATTTCTGCATGACATTTTCTCAAAAAGAGCTTGCTTACTGGCAAAATAGTCATTTAGGATTTTTATAAAAACTCTGGGGTATGATGGCATTTTGAAGTTTTATAATACAGAAGTCCTCCTAGCTTATAAATCATGTAACCAACACACCCGTCAGGACTGCTAAAAACATATATACATGTGGACTCCTACAAGTTCTTTAAAAAAATCTTTAAGGAAAATTTCTAATGCAATCATAAGTGCCAGACATTTGCTAAACCATTTTGCTGTTCATCCACTCAGTGGTCAGGTCATTTGTGATGCCTGAGAATTACGTTCTGGGCCTGGTAGCACAATTTATAGCGGGATCCAATCTCTTTCACCATTGTTTAGAGGCGCAGCCATTAATGCTTCCCTGCTGTATAATAATGCTTGTCTCAGGTTTCAGAAGCTGTGTTTGGCAGCCTGGTGGGACATTGCTTGAACCCTTGTCTCAAGCTGGGTGAAGTATACAATTGAAGCTGAAATCTCAACATAAATTTTAAATAATTTCATGTAAGAGGACAAACTTATTGTCAGTGAACTTTACCATGATCCAGGCAACAGTGATTTTATTTCTAAAACAGTAAGTGATCTATTACCAGGTATCCTGGCCAGTTTATTAGTTGGCACTAAAATAGCATAAATTAATTAGCAATTTATTGCTCGTGTAAACTCCAGAAAAAGTTTGAGATTCAGTTTAGCTGTTGTTTTTCAACTCAATCTTGATAAATTTCCTAGAGATTTAAGTACAAATATATACTATCACAAAAAGTATAATTACATTTCATTTACTGACATTTATTGAGCATCTAGGTGTTTATACCCTACAGATTTCATTATTTTTTTCAGTACTCAAGGAGTACCATATCATTTTTGCTGCCTGCATAGGTTCTTTTCATCCCTGAATGGAAATCGCTGTTGATTTCTTGACATGAGTACTGAGTTTTGGTATCTGCTTATCTTGGAGCTTAACTCCATTAAATAACACTTAGGCATCTTGAGGTATGTGGGTGTTGAGGATGTGTCTCTATGGAAGCATGTGCAAGAGAACAAGAGACTTAAGGCTACCTTCTTAGCCACTCGAGGGAAAAGAAGAGATATCTGGGAGAAGTTAACGAGGCTCAGTAGCTTACAAATAAGTTTAGTAGTCAAACATTAGTCCCCATTTTAAGGTCTGTGAATAGGAGAGTATATTGTATTCACAAGACCAGGAGAGTGAAACCCTTTTTTTGGGTGCAGCTCTTTGAACCTTAGAGAACCCCTATAGGGTAAAAGAAGAAAGGACAATATTCTGATTTCACTTCTAGTTGATAGTAACAACCTTACAAGGTCCAATCAAATGGGAAACCTGATTGCTAAGGACCTTTTAAAAGCCTGTACCTGATTGGACAAGACCCTGGATTCCTAAGGGGGAAGGACAGTTCCTTTCCCCATTTTATCTCCAGTGTGTGGGGCACAGAGTAGGTGTTTATTCACTGCTTTGTGAAATGAAGAGTTAAGGAGATGAGTAAATCCAATCTTCTGCTTTTACTTTCTTCCTCTTCTTTCCTTTTGTCCTGCTTTCTTTTTTATTTAGAACTTTTGTAAGGATTGATTTCTTTTTATGGAATGTATCTGTTTGTCCTACTGTATAAGCTCCTTTCCTGTCAACATTGGGTGTGGTTTCTAATTATCTTCCTACAGCAGCTGAAAATGTGTCCGCAATTTAGCAGAACTGAGTACAGAACTGTTGACTTCCCTGTGAGATTAACCAGTGGAGACTGGTAATTCCTAAAATGGGGTCAATTGCATAAATCCAGTAGGTTGAAGTTATTTAGGTTAGAATACATTGGGTGTGATTTTTCTTTATTGTAGAACTATTAACATTACCAAGAAAAATTGCTTTTACGTGTTGTTAGTCACTGTGAGAGTATTGTTTTTGAAATGTTTTTTTTTAAATGTTTAACCTGAAGGTTTTCTTCATGTTAATCAGTAAAATGAATATGGGTTGTGTTTTTTTTTTCATATCTGTACTCTTGGCTACCTAATCATTTGACATAATACAATGTTGCATTTTGCTTTCTCCAATATCAATGAAGGTACCATTGGATACAACCAGCGGAATAGAATCGATACTCTCATGTATCTACTAGCATACCCACAAAAACCCATGGTTAAAACAAAGACCATTGAGTTGATAGAATTTGAGAAACTGCCAGCTGGACAAAATGCAACAGTTGCCGTGATGAGTTACAGCGGCTATGATATTGAAGATGCCCTGGTTTTAAACAAGGCGTCCCTGGACAGAGGTAAGTGGGTTTTTAGAGTTCTGACACCAGAGGTGCTCTGCCCAGAAGAATTAGGTATGAGGACAGTCCGTTAAAAATTACCCCGTGTCAAAATGTTAACATTGATTTTAAGTGATGTGAATTTTATAACATACAAACAGGAGGCAATTAGGTTTCAGTGTTTACTTTTGTTTTTTTATGATTTTATTTATCCATGAGAGACAGACAGAGACAGAGACAGAGATAGAGACACAGGCAGAGGGAGAAGCAGGCCCCGGCAGGGAGCCCGATATGGGACTCGATCCTGGGTCCCCAGGATCATGCTCTGGGCCGAAGGCCACGCCTAAACCACTGAGCCACCTGGGGCCTAAGGCCACACCTAAACCGCTGAGCCATCTGGGCTGCCCCAGTGTTGACTTTTTAGTGAATATTATTACATAGAGGTAATTTGTTAAATGTGTTACTAAATGTATTTTTTTCTTTGTTATTTTACTTTATTGATGAGACAATTTCTCAACAGAAAATCACGGGTAAGAATTTGTTTATTTCTTGGCAGGAATTATAATAAATGAAATATGGTCTTGGAATCTATCCAGTTATGTATTCAACAACAAACTGCTAAAACAGTCGCAGTATTTCTGTATTAAAGGTTATTTTTTAATTTTTTAATTTATTTTTTATTTTTTATTTTTTTTATTTACGATAGTCATACAGAGAGAGAGAGAGGCAGAGACACAGGCAGAGGGAGAAGCAGGCTCCATGCACCGGGAGCCTGACGTGGGATTCGATCCCGGGTCTCCAGGATCGCGCCCTGGGCCAAAGGCAGGCGCCAAACTGCTGCGCCACCCAGGGATCCCAAGGTTATTTTTTTAAATTGTATGTCTCAACCTCCTGATGTTCATACCTTTTTGTTAGCAAAATACTAGAAGTTAGAAATACACAAACACTGATTTGTTAGAGTTTTTATGCAACCCTTTGTCAATTTTTTGACAGTTTACTTTTGCAAGTCACCACTTCATGGTTTGTTACTCGTCACCTGACCTGAAGTCTGACTCCTCTCTCTTCATAATCTGTTTCTCTTTTTCCGCCCTGGCACACCCACTCTGCTTTCCCCTTCGCTCGGTAGTTGCTAGGCAGCCATAATAGTACTCCTAGACATGTGTCTTTGGCATTAATGTTGGCTGCACTTAATTTATGCCTCTTTTTTTCCTCCAAATGACAACAGCCATGCTTTAAAACTAGATGTTTTCCTTTCTGATTAACTGGTAACGTTTATGTGGAAATCTGAAGACTTTGTGATATCTGTCAGAAACTGCACAACACAATTTAACGATCTGAGTTTACTGTCCTCTCACTTTTCAGCTATCACCTGTAAATAAAATGTCCATTTATACTTGGAGGAAAACACTTCTTGATTTCAGGAAGTTCAGATTCTCATTGCACTCCAGCACGTTGCAGTTAATGGCCATTGTACGGAATTTCAAGATCATGTAATGTTTCCAAAGCAGCTGCCTGTCTGAGCGGAGTTTATTATGGCCATACACAATTCACTAGGAGCCATAATGATTGAGACCTTTCCTGAAGACAGACTAATATCTTCATCTACCATCCAGATATAGAAATTTGTTATTTCATTACACGGTTGCCTTCATATTTTAAAAATTACATTAGAGCATTAAGCTGTTATTTAGAAATCTACTTTTTTCCTGATTTTCTAAACTTCCACTCTTAGATTTCTTTTAAGAGTTCTGCCTTTTAAGTGAAGGATTTTTACAGCTATGCATTTATCTCATCAGTGATAGCTGGAATTTAATCCCAGGTCATTTTCCTATTTCAGTGAAGCTCTAACATGGCTCAGTATATCCTGGGGAGATTAGAGAGAATCCAGCTTAGAATAATTGCTTGGCCAAAGGGAGAAAAAGACAAAAAGAAAGAAATGCAATCACAGGATCTTGGGAAATGATATTTAGTGCTGAAGGCTTGACAGCTCTTCTGGGCAACTCTACAGCTGATGAATCTTCTTGTGGGATTCAGTCCTGGAAGTTTTTGCTCCATCGAAAGGTTTCCTTCTGTTCATTTTGCTGATCTTTCATAATGTTCATTTAGCTTGTTAGTTGGTCTCATGACTTTCCCTCAGGCACTAGATAAATGTGATCTAAAAATATAATCAGCATAAATTCTGATCTTCAGGACACAGGCAAACATTTTCTCCTGTTAAAATTATTTGATTGCAGCTGCTTTTCATTTTCTCTCCTCTCTGGAGGAAAATTAATCTTTTGTTTCCTTGTTTGAGACTTCCTCTGAATGTCAAAATTAGAAAAAGGAAAACTTTCCAGGGAAGGTTAGCAGAAGTTATGCACCAGAAGGATGTGTAGGAAGAATCGTTGCTGATCAGCAGACTTGGGGTGTTTCAGCTCTGCCACCAACTTGCTGGGTGACCTTGGCCACGTCACCTCCCTGAACCTCATTTTGTAGCAATTATAGCACCTGTAGCTAGAGGGGTTAAGCCAGGTGGCCTCTGGGGCCCTTTCTGGTTCCCATATTCTGTGGCTTCGTGTTCTGAAAGAATCATAATGACACTTGAATTTCTCTCACCTCCTTCCAGCATGGCACGGTCTATGCCATAGTGAAACATGGTTATAGTTATACCAATGTCGATATGGACAGTGGTAGGGGAGAAGCCCTGAGCCAGTTCTTTAGATTATCAGATCGTTGTTTGGCCCATCCCAGATTATCCAAATATAGAACATGTTTGAGGGGGGTAAGGTGTTCACTAACACAAATCTGATCCCCATTTTAGGCTTTGGGCGTTGTCTTGTATATAAAAATGCTAAATGTACACTGAAACGCTATACCAATCAGACCTTTGATAAAGTGATGGGGCCGATGTTGGATGCTGCTACAAGGAAACCCATCTGGCGACATGAAATTTTAGATGCTGATGGTATTTGTTCTCCAGGTAAGAGCCTTTTTAAAAAACTATATGTATACTTTTTGAAATATGAAAGCTATTCAGCAATATTTCTGAATATTTGGTAAATAGAAAATAAAAAATAACAACTTACAAAACCACTTTCCTGACTCAGCGTGGTCATTTTTCTAAGGGGTTTTGTTTTGTTTTCTTTTGCTTTGTCTTTGATTTTAGAGAGAGAGCATGCAAGCAGGGGGAAGACTAGAGGGACAGGGAAAGCACCTCAGGCAGGCTCTCCGCCTGCTGAGCTTGGAGCCTGACACAGGCTCAATCTCATGACCCTGAATTGTGACCTGAGCCAGAATCAAGAGTCAGATGTTTGGCTGACTGAGCCACCCTGGCACCTCAATGTGGGCATTTTTCATGAATTTCCCTCCAATCTGTTTTTCTGTGCATATATTTTTACATGGTAGTAATCATTCTAGTTATACTTTTCTACTTAAAATTTTTAATCACAAAAGAACCACTTTAAGGAAATGTTTAGAATAAGGGTGTATCCCTGCATCTACACTGGTGTGTCATCATTTGTGCATTTAGCTCAGACTAACTTTATTAGAATCCTCTTCCACTAAAAAGTGTGACTGCTTTATAATGACAAACTTGTAATGAATTTTGTTGATGCAACCTGTAACAACTGCCCTTACGAGTCTTAGAGGCTAGTGTAGGAGACTAACATTGGCCAAAGGATCACATGTAAACATTTGTCCAGTCACAACTAGGTTAAGGGATCCTATAAAGAGCTATGAAGGCGTTAGATAGCGAGAGGATCTGACCTAGGCAGGAAGCTCGTGTAGACTTCCCTAAGGAAGTGATCCAAGATCTGGAGGATGAATAGAGTTAACTAGTGAATATGGGAGAAAGTGTGTTCTGAGCAGTGGGAAGGGCTTGTGTAACTATCAAGCTGCAGAACCTGATATTTAAAACTTCTGAAAGGAAGCCAGTGTGAGAGTGGCTCATGGGGAGAGGCCAGGGGAGGGTAGTAAACTAGAATCTAGAGAGAGAAGGAGAGAGAGTACCAGGGCACAAACACAAGACCTTGCAGCCATGCTACTAATTCATTATGATCCTAAAAGCAATGCTGTAATTTGCATTTTGAAATGATCATTCTGATCACAGCGGAGAAAAGAGTAGAAAAGGGCCAAAAGAGAGGAGACCAACCAAGAGCTCCATCAGAGCAGGTGATGAGAGCCACAGTGAGGTGGAGAGATAGGCTGTGTCAAGGAGGTCACTGGGAGGGGAAATCCACATGACTTGTGATGGTGCACAGATGGTAAGTGCTGCATCTGTGGGGCCCACAGCCATGTGGTGCACGGCTTCCTCTCCTTGCTGTGTGTGTTTCTTGGAGAATTTCTTTCACTTTTAATCTAGGTTATGTGGCTGGGAAGACAGTTCTGTGATAGTACTATAGTAGTTGGCCTTTGAGCTTACCAGGAATAGTTGCAAAGAAAGGTGAGAATAGCAAGAAAATCCAAGAAATATTTTGATTTCCTCATTGTTCAAGTTGGCAGTGACTTACTATTGGTTGAAATAATAACTATTAATAAAAGTAAATGGCTTGGGCTTATTCTAACACTCTGAGAGATATATAAAATTTCCAACTTATTGGGGCGCCTGGGTGGTTCAGTTGGTTGAGATCAGGTCATGATCTCAGGGTTGTGAGATGAAGCCCCGCATTGGGCTCTTCTTCGCTCAGTGTGGAGTCTGAGATTCTCTCTCCCCTCTCCCCCTACCCCCACTCAAGTGTGCACACACACACACGTACACACTCTGTCTCTAAAATAAATGAATAAAATCTTTTTTAAAGAAAATAAAATTGCCACTTATAACATGAGTTTCTCTTGTTTGTATGGACCCTAAATCAGTTTCTTGATTTTTTTACACACTGTAAGCTAATCTGTGATTTTTCAGATGGACTGTCACAATTAGAGACGAGCCCCCATTGGACACTAGCCTACACTGTATCAACTTTTTCCTTTCTTGTCTGCCTTTCATGGACCAATCTAATCACGTAGTTCTATGTCCCAATAATGTTTGCATTCCACAGAGATGATAATGATTGGCCTGTAATTCCCTTCTCTTATTCTTAGGTGAGAAGGTAGAAAACAAACAAGTGCTGGTAAATAAGTCCATGCCCACAGTAACCCAGATTCCTTTGGAAGGAAGTAATGTGCCACAGCAGCCACAGTACAAAGATGTGCCCATCACGTATGTATTGCATGTGCCTCGGAAATACATAAAAAGATTCAAAAAAAAAGAGAAGGGACAGGAGAAATCAGAAGTTACCTCTTAGAGGATTAGAGAGTGGAAATTACAGTTTTGGGTAATAATAGTTGTCATGACAATAGCATGGCGTGGAGGAAGAAGGTAGGCTGTGGAATTGTGTAGGCCTTCCAACCTGGGTTTGAACTGGGGACCTAATAAAGGTTCCAGGTAGAGGGAGCAGTGACATGAAGGCCCCATGCACAGAAGAGCACATGCCTGGATTTGGAGGACCAGTGTAGCCTGCCAGGACGAGGTTGTGCAGTACTTGGGAATTCAGTTGGTAGAGGGCAGGTTATCGCTATGATCAGATTTGTGTTAAATAAGTAAAATAAATGCTCTGGCCACAGTGTGGCATCACCACTATACTGGACTACACAGTTGGATTTTGTACTAGTTGTGTCATGTGTTACCTTACTTGGATGAAGTACTCAAACTCTTGGGCTCAGATTTTTCATCTGTACAATGAAATATTTCAAATATAGTAAAATATGATACTTCATGAGATGAGCCATGGGCCAACGATAGCGTAAAAACCAAACTAGAAGAAGTAACAAGATACTTAATCTAGCCCAGAATTGGGTTAAATCAGGTGGGGGCAGAGAGTGACATAGGAGAGTTGGATTCCTGGGCATAGAAGGCAGTCCAGCAGATCCATTCAACAACAGCTGAGATTTGCTCTGGGCCAGCCACTGTGCCACTCATACCAGGGATGAGAGCTGGAAGAAACCACAAGCCTGCAAGGAGCCACATCTAGTTAGTGAAGGCCTACATAAAAAAATAAGTGTGGTGAATATGATCATAGTGGCTTAATGGAGATATTTTACTATACTAGTTACCATTCCAGGCAATTTACATGTGTTAGCTCATTTGCTCTTACCACCCTGAGCTCTATTAATGCTCACCCCCTGAGCTCTATTAATGGCTTTGTTTGAAAGACACAGAAACTGAGGCACAGAGAGGTTAAGTAATTTATCAAGGTCATAGAGTGACAAGTGGCAGTCAGGATTTGAACTCATACAGTCTGGCTTCAGAGCCCAACTCCTGCCCACTATGCAAAATGCTGTAGTGCTGTGGATGCCATGGATCTATCTGTAGAGTAGGGAGCACAGGGGAGAAAGTGGGTCCTCTACCTAGGAGAAGGGTCAGGACCCTTGCACCCAATCCTGCAAAACAAAAAGCAAGTTTCAGAATGACAAAGATGGTTATGCTAGCTGGTTTTCTTCCTGTCCTGGAGGAGATCTTTTTTCCTCTTCAAAGCTTGCTCCTCCTCCTCCTGGGTTCTTCATTTAATTTAGTTTTTTAGGGACCTATCATTTTTCTCTTCTGTCCTTCCACATCTTCAACTGGTTTTCTATTGATTCCTTCCCTACAGGCTAGCAAATGTACTTATGTATTCTTATCTTTAAAAGAAAACAAAACCTTCCTCGGGGCTCTGTGATCCTTCCAAGCTGCCACCCTTGCTCTCCAAGCATCCCATTTCCTTGTCTGCAGTAAGGGAGTAGCCATGTGTGAATAATATGTGTGGTGCAGGCTACATTACCTTATGCCGGCCTCATGATAAGTATTTAGTAAATGTTAGCCAATTCAGACTAGGACTGTAAAAGGGAGGTGGTAACCTTTGAGTTTAACTTTGAGAAATGAAAGGCACGTTTCAGAGTCCAAAATGGCAATGTCAAAACATCCTGTGGTTGATATTAAGTAAAATATGACTCATGGGTAATAGGTTCACAAAGGGCAGTTTGCAAACTCTGTTTTGGTGACTTCCTCTTACTGTTAGCTACAAAGGAGCAACGGATTCCTACATTGAAAAAGTGATGATCTCTTCAAATGCTGAAGATGCTTTTCTGATCAAAATGCTGCTGAGACAGACCAGGCGTCCAGAGATTGGAGACAAATTCAGCAGCCGTCATGGGCAAAAAGGTAAATTGTGTCGTTCCTCAACTTCTTTATAAAACTGAAAATAGTATTTATTGACCATATATGTGAAAAATGTTGCATAAGGTTATACAGGTAAAGAAAATTTAGTCTTTTGGAGAAATTATTACATTGTTACCAAAATTATGCTTGCTTTCTTTCTTAGGTTATCCTGTTTATACTTTAATAGCATTGAAAAAAAAATGCACTGCAGGATTGCTTTTCTTTGCCATTTATTTCATTCTTTTGCAACTGCTCCACTTGAAATTATAATTATGAATACATTCTAGATGATGTACCTAAGAAAGTACAGGTAGCTGTTTGAAAAAAATAAATAATATAATCTGTAGTGGTGCTTATGTACAGTACTGTCTGTAGGATCATAGGATGTCAGCAGGCACTTCTGGATTACCTGGCCCTGGCCCTGGCCCTGTATGTATGTAGCAGTGAGGAATTGCAGGCTGTGGTATCAGGTGGCCAGGCAGAAGCTCAGGCAGGTTGGCTCTTGAGCCATATTACAGCCCAGGTCTCCTGATGCCTGCACAGGACCCTGTCCGCTGCCCAGTGGTCCCTTACTTTGATGAGTTTCTCCACCTGGTGCCACTGGCAAGCCCCACTCGTCACTGATGGTTGCCGATGAGTACTCATGCATTTGAGCTTTCCTTTGTCTTGTTTTTTTATCTTCAAGAAACATAGCACTGTGTCACTACTGTTTAACTCATTTTCAGCAGGGTCTTTTTTCGTATATATCCATCATGTTTCAGAGTGGATCGTTGGCCCTGGGGGTTGAATTGTGGCTATGCCTGCCACTTAACTGGCTTAAGAACAACCAGAGCAGCTAACACTTCTGTGGCACTGACCATATGCCTGGGAGGTCAGTGTTATTCTCATCTGCATTTTATAGATGAAGAAACAGAGGCACAGTGGCGTGAGTAGCTTATTTGGTGCCCCCAGTCGGTGGTAGAACTGGTTTTTGAAACCTAACCATCTGGCCCAGAGTCTACACTCTTGCCTAACAACTGTGCTGTCCTCAGTGGTGAACATTTAACGTTGTGCCTGGCACACAGTAGGCACTCAATAAGGGAGAGCAGTGCTCACTGGTGTTGGTTATCATGCATTCTGCTCTCCAACGTTGTGTCTCTTCTTTACTCATAAATTCCTAGTGTGATGTCTTCTTGTTTTTAATTGATTGAAGATCATTGCATATTATGTTCTTGCTGATTTCAACTTTTATTTGCTAAGCAAGTATATAAAATATTACAATTTGTTTAGTCAATGAATCCAGCCTTAGTTGTCATTCCTTGCATCAGTGAAACTATTCCAGACTAAGATACGGTTTCATCAAAAGCATTTTTAGTTCACTTGATAGACACAAGATTATTTTAGCCTGTCATAGCTTATTTTAAAAAATTGATTTTAAATAAATTAATAAATAAATCTATTTTATTCATGTGAATTTGACACTTCTACTACTTCAAACAATTCCCTAAGATGCTAACTTCTAATACCTTTTCAGTATTTGTAAACATTTCTTGAGATTCTAGTATTTTCTACTACTTACCAGTGAAAACCAAATTCTCTGTATTGAAACTCTCCTCTCTCTTGGTCTAGACAATTTCTGAGATGTATTCCTAAGTTATTCTGGGGTAACCCCATTAATCTTATTTACAGCCTCTATTTTACTTGACTTATCCCCTGGATAAGGGCAAAGTTTGATACTCTTCTGATAGATAAAATGTTGGCACTGGACGCTTTACAAGAATGCTCACTATATGAGAAGATCTCCATTCAGAATCCATTTATAAACTTCAAATATCCCATATCCTCATGTTTTATTCCACCAGAATATTGTGCAAAGAGTAGAATAGAAGGATGGCAAACATTTCAGTGATAATCCACTGTATTCTAACTCCACTAAACTTGAAGACAGAGATCATGTCCTTAAATTTCCATAAAGCCTGATAGAGCCTTCCTCATGGAGGATACCTAATAGGTAGTTGATAATGGTTGAATAGATAAATAAATTGAAGGTGGGGAAATATGAAAGGGGACAGATTCTGTACTCCTAATGGATTGATTTTACTGAGGTTTTCATCTGTACATAATATGTAAGTGTGTGTATATAGTGTAGACAAAACAGTAGGTTTGAAAATGAGAAACACATCGTTAGTAAGTAAATACAGACCTTACAGGTACAGGGAAGATATCTGTGAGTCTTTGCACTATAACATTTTTTTCAAACTATTAATATGATAGGGATCATGTTCATTGACAGAAGTGGTTTCCAGTCTGTGTGATCTGAAACAGCACATTTTGGAGATTGGTTCAACCTTAGTGGGGTTTGACTTGTACATCTCTATGAAACGGAAAGAAGCCCTCTGGGGTTAGGTGACCTTTCACTCATAGTGAGGAGTTTCTCTCACAAGTTTTTTTTTTTTTTCCAGATGGCTTTTAATCCAAGGATGAAAACCTTCTGATTAGTCTAGATTCCCTTGATACTCCCTTCTCTTACAGCTTCATCAGATTTATTGAAAAGACTGGGAGGAAACGGGCAAACAAAAAATAGGTACTGTAAGCTACAAGACAGTGATGTAGGACCATTAATTGAACATAATTTTTGTTTCTTTTAAGTATAGTTTTTAAATCAAATAATAAATGCAGATGGTTTAAAAAGTCAAATAGTACAAAAGGGGGATTTGAACTGAAAAACATCAGTCCCTGCCTTTTCTCCAGTTCTCCTTCCCAGAAGCAATTTCTTCTCATTTTTACCTTCATATTTCAAAGTACTGTTTTTAAGCAACTGTATATTCAGTCATCCATTTTAGAGATTATCTATTGATTTTCTGTTATGATAGACAGGAGGAGCAGCACTTCGCTACCTCTCTTTCTCACTCCCCACCTCCATTCCCTGCACAGATTCATCATAATTTTGGGTTACTTAATTATTTAGATTGCATTATTTGACCACATAAATATTGTTCACTCCCAAACCAAGTAGTTAAGTGCATTTTCTTTATTTATTTGAGTGTATTTTTTTCAGAAGTTAATGATTACCTCATTTTAAAAATTTGCTTCATTTTCTTATTCCTGTTACATTCTTCGGTACCATCAACAGCCTCTCAACACAATTTCCCACATGATCAGTAGTCTGTTAGGACCATTTCCCCCTCAACAAAAGACCTCCTCTATAGCGCCCCCATTCTTCCTATCCACACTGAGCCCTAGCTTCCCAGCCAGTGTGTTAAGGATTGATCCCCACTGGCCACAGGAGTGCTGAGCAGAGCCTGCCTCAGCCAGGGCCCAGAATGGCCTCCACTGTGTGCTGCAGAACGTTTTCAATAAAGGTGAGAACATGCTCTGCGTGAGTCTGCTGTAACCAGATACCACAGGCTGAGGGCTTCAACAACAGAAATTTGTTCTATAAGGTTCTGAGGCTGAAGTCTGAGATCAGGGTAGTGGCAGCTTTGGGTTCTCCTCAGACCTCTTTCTGTGGCTTGCAGGCAGCCAGTTGGTCCCAGTGTCCTCACAGGGTCTTTTCCCTGTGCACCTGCACCCTGATGCCTCTCCCTCTTTTTACAAGGATGCCAGCCACATTGGGTTAGGGCCCACGCTGTGTTAGCCTTAATTACCTCTTTAAAGAAGCTGTCCCCAAATAGAGTCACATTCTGAGGTCCTCTGGGGGTTAGGACTTCAACATAGGAATCTGGGGGTGAGGGACACAGTTCATAAAACACTCGAGATCTGCTCAGCAGTAGTCCATTTATGAAATTCCCATTTGAAACCTCCATTTCATGGCTCATCCAATACTGTCCCTCACATTCCCACTCCGTGCAACAATGGAATAGTCCTATTCATTAAGTTGCCTGAGAAAGGATGCCACAAGAAGTAACTTTGTAAGATCAATGTAACATCTGAACATGTTGTATCCTCATATGTGATTTATACTCCTGATTGATTAAAGAATTCTAGATTGAAAAGTTCTTTTCTCTAAGGGTTCTGATGACATTGCTGCATCACCATCTGATTCCATGTTGCATCATTCTTCCTAATCTGTGTATGTGTGTGAGCATGTACACCTTGTTTCACTCTTTCCCATCCTTCCCACACTTCCCTCCCTCCTCCACCCCTTGAAGCTTTTACTAATCCTTCTTCTAATTCTTAGAATTTTTGAATTTTCATTCCTTGTCCCAGGAAATCAGGTACCTTCTTTTCTGGAAGTTCAAGTTCCATTCATTTTCAGACACTTTCTTATATTACTTTATTGATAATCTCTGTCATGTTCTTTGTACCCTCATTGCCCATTTCCTTCTTTTTTTTTTTTTTTTTTGTAGGAGATTTGACTTTTATTTTCCAGATTTTTTTAACCTATTATGTTTCAATTTATAATTTAAAATTTATATTTGTAGTCTTTTTTATAACTATGAGTGTATATTTTTAGTATTATTTTCATCTTTAGTTTTAGTTTTTTAGGTGTTTTTTTTTCTTTTTAGCTTTCTTGTGTTCCTAATCGTCTGTATTCCTTCAGCAGTTTCTTCCCCTCCTGTGTGTTTTAGGGTCTGATTTGTCATTGCTGGGAACTTTCCTGGTATACCTGTGAACCTAAAAAGCCTTTGGAAGCTTTATGGCCTAGGAATAGAATTTGTTGACTGGTGGACATCACTGTAGGGGGATCAGGCCATGAGCTACAGTTATTGCTGGTGCTAGTCTACATATTAGGATCTTTCTAACTTTTGCTGAAACATTGGAATGTTTAAGGGACAGTATTTAAGACTACCAGCTGGCCTTCAGGGAGCCAGGTAGGGGCAGGGAGCTGGGGCCCACTGTTTACTGCACAGACTTTGATTTAATTCCGCTGTGTCAGGCTGGTTCCTCATGCCACCATTTGTTGTGCTTGCTACCCTGGGGTGTCAGGTCATTGTGGTTCAGTTTCTCAAGCAAGGGCTGGGGGAAAAGTGTAGTTTCCTGGCTATACAGGGCAGGGAATGGAAAGTCAGGGGTCGATGATT